AGCTTTTAAGCCAAGTTCAAGGAGCTGACTGGCTTAAACCAAGCTACAAGTAACCCCAGAAAAAAGAAAAAAAAATCATGACATTTGCTTCCACAACTAAAAGAAAGAAATGGTGTTAAACCTGCAAAGCTTAAATTAGCACAGCCAAAATGTATTACAAACCACAGCTCTAGTTTATCCACGTGAAAAATTTAGAGTAGACAGTGACAGCACAATCTTTTGTACATAGTGCCAAAATTTCTGATACACCCCCTGATAGCAAAATCTCTGTGAGAAATAACTGTTGTAGTTTCTTCTGATCTGTATCTTCTGTTTCAGTTGAAAGCTATGCTATGTTAATTGTAATGGGCTGCTAAGAAAAAAATATCTCTGCTTGCTGTAAGCTTATGTTCCATGGTAGTTCTTTTATGTTGTATGTGGTTTGATAGCTGTGGGTCTAGTAGTTCTTTCCTAATTTTCATATTTTCATAGAATGACTTTATTTCTAATATACTTCTTCAAACTGCCACAATCTTGGTGAATGTTTTTTTTTTTCAGTTAAGTCTTAATGCTCTTTTCCAAACTTAGAAAACGTAGTGTGATACTCTCCCAGAGTTCCAGCAGTTATTTCTTAGGACACTCACACAAATTTGTGAAGGGATAACATGACTGCAGGTATGTATACAGAATCATAGAATCATAGAACAGTTAGGGTTGGAAAGGACCTTAAGATCATCTAGTTCGAACCCACTGCCATGGGCAGGCACACCTCACACTAAACCATGTCACAAATACACTAAACTATGTCACTAAACCGTACCACCAATTGCTGAATGGTCCTTCCAAATCTAATTCACTTTCCAGGTGTGCCTTGTATTCCTTTTGTCTTTTCTAAGACTTGGACTAAACAAAGATTTATACGAAACTTTTAGAATCATAGAATCATAGAATAGTTAGGGTTGGAAAGGACCTTAAGATCATCTAGTTCCATCATAGTGCGATGCCTATTGTATCATACCCCCGTAGACGTTCACACATCTCCACATCTCTAATTCCTCTTGTTAGTTCCCCATGCTACGGGCATTTGTATAGAGGCATCTGAGCCAAGATCCAACTGAAGCCGGCTCATTGGCTGGAGTGGCTGGAATATCTCTACATTGCTCCGAGCATTTATTATAGGTTCTGGCAACTGACTGGGTGTGTTGGGATGGAATGATGCCCCCCTCCCCAACACATCTAGTTTAAAGCCTCCTTGACCAGTCTGGCAAGCCTCCTACCGAAACTGCTCTTCAGACCAGCTCCACCAGCCCCCGCTAGACCTGGCCTACAAACTCGGGTCCTGTGTTCAAGACACTTTTAACCCTTTATTAACCTGGCTAATCATCCTAGATTTTTTTAGGTCCTGCCCTGTATCCTGGAGAATTGACAAAAGGATTATCTGAGCTCCAGAGCCCCTAACCACCTCCCCCAGGGCTCTGTAGTCCTTCTTTATGTTCCCTAGGCTACTACTGTCTATATCCCTAGCACCCACATGTACCACCAGAAGTGGGTAATAGTCTGTGGGACTTACTAGAGCAGGCAGCCTCTCTGCCACATCCCTGATCCGTGCCCCTGGACTTTAAAGACTTTAAACTCTTTAAAATTCAAAACTTCTAAAAACCATTTAAACTTCTACATTGTCCTGGTAGAATAAGATTATTATAGGAATCCTTTGGTTGTTGGTGACACGGACAATTCAAGGAATATTCTCCAGTGACTATCCAAAAAGAGACTTCTGCAGAGGTCTAGCTCTTTGGGCTTGCCTTCCCTCTGACAGTCTCCTCCACTAGTAAAAAGTTTCTGATGTTGATAGACTAAAGCTTTGTCAGATCTTTTCCTTTACTATTTTAGAATCATAAAATCATTTAGGTTGGAAAAAACCTTTAAGATCCAGTCCAACTCTTACTCTAGCACTGCCAGGTCCACAACTAAACCATATCCCCAAGTGCCACATCTACACATCTTTCAAATGCTTCCAGAGATGGTGACTCCACCACTTCTCTGTGCAGCCTGTTCCAATCCCTGACAACCATTTTTGTGAATAAATTTTTCCTAATATGCAATCTAACCTCCCCCCCCCCCCCCCCCCCCCCCCCCCCCCCCCCCCCCCCCCCCCCCCCCCCCACCCCGGTGCAACTTAAGGCCATTTCCTCCTGTCCTATTTCTTGTTACTTGGAGAAGAGACCAATGTCCACTTTGCTACAACCTCCTTTCAGGTATTGTATTTGTTACTTTTTTGAATGAGTAATTAATTATGGGGATGTTCATAACTTCACTGTGACCACTGCCAGGAATCAAACACAAGTTAGCACCTAAAAACACAAGTGCACATTTGGATTCAATAAAGCTATCCAATTTATGTCTTTACTGAGCAAGTCACAAGGGGACTTGTTCACCCAGCAATCTGACATAGCTTACATGCTTGTTTCTCTTAGTGCAAATTTTGTCCCAGCAGTTTTGATCTGATTTGCCTGAGTGATACTTTAGTTGATAAATTGCTGAAAGCCTAAATTTCTGAGAAATGTGGAGGAAAGGGACAATGACAGCATAAAGTCTTCACTGAAAGTCCACTTTTCCAAATGGCTCTTTAGTAAGGAGCAGAGGAGGGAGATGTCAGCAGGAATGGAGAGAATCAATCTATGTTTTCCTCCCATTTGTCTTCCTGTGCAGATCTCTTTCTATACCGGCCTTATGCTAATAATTTGAAACCTATTTCTTGTCTTTTTACTTTCTCTTGTCTAGAATTCTCTGTCACGCCTAGCCATTCATCTTTTCTAAAAGGTCAGATGCTTTTTGGGATAGATCATGGCTTTGATTATATTTATGAAACATTCTGTAGATCTGCAGTTCTGCTAAGTTAAATAATAATCAAAATGAAAATAAGAGCAAGGAAAGAAAAATGTGGAAAGGGGGGTAAATCAGCTTAATCAGGGACTGGTAGTGGCAGGACAAGGGCTAATGGGTTAAAACTTAAACAAGGGAAGTTTAGATTAGGTATAAGGAAGAAGCTCTTTACTGTGAGGGTGCTGAGGCACTGGAATGGGTTGCCCAGGGAAGCTGTGAATGCTTCATCCCTTGTAGTGTTCAAGGCCAGGTTTGACAGAGCCTTGTGTGACATGGCTTAGTGTGAGGTGTTCCTGCCCATGGCAGGGGGGTTGGAACTAGATGATTTTAAGGTCCTTTCCAACCCTAACTATTATATGATTCTATGATTCATATCTTTGTTTCACCTGCTGGTGAACTTTTAACTGCAAAATAAAATCAAGACTGAAATGCACACACCCCCAGTACTTGACTAAAATCTATGTTGTTAACTAAGATAATGAAAAAATGATAACGACTGCTAATAGATTCTTCATGAGAGAATACAGTATTTCCTGATGAGCTTAATCCAAAATGCAATCTTTGAAGCACACTACACAGAAAACAAAAACCTATGAGTTTTATACCAAAATATATCAGATGACAGGAGAGAAAAAGGACTTCTTTTTCTAGTGGACTCATTTCCACACTTGAATTCTATCTAAGCTGAATTGTGGCTTCCACTTCTGATTAAAAAAAAAAACCAAAAAACCCAAAAACGCATTCACCATGTTTCTTTGTTTTTTTTTTTTTTTTTTTTTTCAAAAATTACAAGCAGCTAGGGAGGTTTAGGAATATTATACACCAAAGACTATATTTAAACCTGCATCAAAAAGAAAAAGGGGAAGGGGGTAAAGAAGTGCTTAAACATTTGAAATCATATTAAGTAGTTTGGTTATGAGACAATACAGTCTCATATACAGTTCAGTGCAATTCTACCTGTTGGAAAGGGTTAACTTCACATTTTATGGGTGTCCTGGGTTCAGCAGTAGCAGTCATTTTTCTCCTTCTTAGTAGCTGGTGCAGTGCTGTGTTTTTGACTTTCAGCCTGGGAACAACACTGATAACACCAATGTTTTTAGTTATTGCTCAGTAATGTTTAGTCTGACCAAGGACTTTCTGAGTCTTGTGCTCTGCCAGGGATGAGGGGAAGTCAGGAGGAAGAAGAGACAGGGCACCTGACCCAAACTAGCCAAAGAGGTATTCCATACCACAGCATGTCATGCCCACTATATAAACTGAGTGCAGTTAACCAGAAGGGTTAGATCATTTCTCAGTCAGGCTGGGTATTGGTCAGTGGGTGGTGAGCAGTTGTATTCTCTTCCCTTGTTATTTCCCTTATTATTATTATTGGTGGCAGCAGCAGTGATTTGTGTTATACCTTAGTTACTGGGCTGTTCTTATCTCAACCTGTGGGAGTTACATTCTTTTGATTCTCCTCCCCAACCCTCTGGGAGTGGGGGGATGAAGCGGGGGGGGGGGGCAGTGAGCGAAGGCTGCGTGGTTGAATTGCCAGCTGGGTTTAAACCACGACAATGGGCTATCTTGTCATGCTATTCCTCTTTCATTTACATTAAGTATACCTATTTGAAATATTTCATAATCACAATAGAACAGAATCTTTGAGGGAACTTGCATGCAAAAAAGCCTGAAGCATTTATTCAGTTCTAGGATCAGAGACTTGCTCGGTAGGGTGTTTTTCAGATCCCACTTGTGGAACACCTAAATTCCACTGAAATCCTCATACAGGAACCTGAATTCCTTCTTTGTATTTAGCTTTTGCTGACCATAACAGAAATGTGACTTTTTATATCCTAGAGTACCCCCTCAAGCCAACAAAGAAACTAACATTCTGGGAGTAGACTCTATTCTATATCTTTTAATGTCTTTTCTCCTTCTACCCAGCCTAATTATAAACTTTTCCCTAATTGTGGGAACATGTAGCTGCCTTTGGATTTCTGGGCCCTGGCAGTAGGAGGAAGCAAAGAAGGCTGTTACCAAGGCTGCAGGTTGTGTTTCTGGCACACTGCAGTGGGGCTGTTTGTACATGTATGGATGCAGAATTATTTGGTATGTGATGTAAATCCATTGGTCATTAGTCATATGTTTGGGGATTTAAGGCAAAATCCCACATGGCTGGAGGCTTTTGCTAATGTAGGAGAAGACAGAATATCATTTTGGACTAAGAACTGCCTAGGCCAGTCAAGAAAAGAGCATTTAATTTCTATTCTTGCTACAAGCATCCTGAAGTTCCTAGTTCATAGGCATCTCTTTTGGGACCGTATCACCAGTATGCCTGATATCCAAGTCTGCTTCAGGGAGATCTGCATCCGCAAGAGAAGTATTTGCTTACTGCTCAGCTCACCCCATGCATTGTTTACAGTGTCATAGCAACCCCCCTTTGCTGGGAGACATGCAGCAGAGGCAGGCTGCCCTGGTGCAGACCAGCACTCACCAGCCAGGTCCAAGAACTCTGCAGCTTCTATTTCTGGTCTGCAGTAAAGGATTTCACCTTTGCAAATGAGATTGTAATCTTGTAGATGTGGGTGCTGGCCCTTACGTGTGTAGATCCAGGATGCAGTCGAAGAGGCTAACCACTGGTATGTAGTGCTTCCCATGCAGGGGGATGGACCGAAACTATGTCAGACAGGGGTCTGACCCAAGGGTGATTGTCTTAGGTACAGAGATGGTGATACAAAAGGGGGGGATTTGGACCTGCTAGGTTTAAATTCAGTAAAATTCCTTCATCTCAAGACAGAACTTTATTCCCTTCAGACGTAATCACGGAAGGCAGAATACCCTTCTAGAATGAGTGAGATTTTGATATCTGGGAACACCAACAATCACATTTTTAAAATTTTATCATATGATTCATAACATTTGCTCTTCGAGGCTCCCCCAGTCTCATAGAAATCTACATTTTCATTAAAAACCAGCAAGATTCTAGTAATCAATTTTGCAGAGCAAAGCTGACAAGTTAACTGATACGTATGAGAAATAATCTAGTTAAATAATACTTGAATTATATTTAAATCATTCTTGTGGTAGATTTTTTATTTAATCCTTTTATCCTTTTTATACATGGGTCAACATTACTGCATGTTCTTAGAGTTTATTTTATTTCCTCAGGCTAAGTTATTTTATTTAAGAATATCCAGGAAGGTTGTCATGCCTCACTACTTTTTGTTTCTGTTCAGTAATCATAGTTGAACAAGCTTGACTGTATTGCTTGAATAACATATTTCATTTTTGTATTTCAGAGCCTCCATGTATAACAGAAGAAGTGTTTGTAAGTATGCTTTATAAAGCTTGATCATTCATTTTGTCATGCAACTGTAGAACACAAAAAGCAAAAGACATTTTTGGAAACTGTTGCCTGATTTCTCAATTCTTTCTTCTCTGTAAGTATGGAGTACCGAGCAATTTCTTGCTATTTTTCTCAGACAAAAAAAAAATTACTTAGTTTGAAAATAATTAGAATGTAAAAAGTAACAGGAAACTATGGAGAAGACGGATGGAAATGAAAAGGAAAGTGAAATATGATGAAGGAATGAAATCATGAGCTCAAATGTTCAACATGACAGGTTTAACAATCTTCTCCTTTATCTTTTCTGCTCTTTGCGTCTAGCTCATTGTAGGATTTCTCTGTTGTTTGCCTTTTTTACCTTATTTGTTACTCTGTTGTTTTACCTTATTTGAAGTGGCACAAGCAATGGATGAGAGGAAATGGCCTCAAGTTGCATCAGGTGAGGTTTAGGTTGGGTATTATGAAAAATTTCTTCACAGAAAGGGTTATAAAGCATTGGAACAGGCTCCCCAGGGAAATGGTAATAAAGAATAAACTAAGTATTCAGAATAAAAAGAATACCCCCCCTAAGAATAAAATTAGTCTTTAAAACTAATTTTTGTTGTTGTTGTTGTTGTCTGAGAAAATACTATGAAATGACTCATTACTCCATACTTTCTTATTTGTAGTGGTAAATACCTCCAGAAGGAGTCACCATCCCTGGAGGTATTTAGAAGATGTGTAGACATGGCACTTAGTGACATGGTTTAGTGGTGAACTTGGTAGTGCTAGGTTAATGGTTGGACTTGATAACCTAGAATGTGTGAATATGCAAGTGCAACTATGCTTTCAAATGAAAATAAGACTGACCCCAAAAAAACCCTTCAAACACCAGAGGACAGTATATTGTGCATAGATGCAGTAAGATCAGTAAGTAGCAAAGCTTGCTTTAAAAAGATCATAAACATTTTATTGATTAATCAACCACTGTGTTTACATTTCTTGCTGTTATATGAGACTGCAGAGAATTATATCCTTAGCAAATTAAAAACACATGTTACCTGTATATTCTTAAGGAGCTTATACTTCAGCCAGTAATAAATGAGTTGTTTTGAGTAAGTCTTTCAACACAATATTTTAATGAGGTATTATGATATCTGTCTGTCTTCAGATTCATGCTTATCAGTGTCAAATCTAATTTTGCATTGCCCAAACCAAACATAAGGCACACTGAAGCTTGTTTAGATTTTTTTTTTTTATTCTGTTGTTATTATTAATTATGTTAACACTTGCTGAATTGAGATTTCTGGGTCTGATTGATTGCCTAGTGACATTAGGGAGAGGATTTTCTGTTGACTTCAAAATGTTTTGGGTTAGACACTTTGGTAAATTCTCCTATTTAATCAATGCCCTAACATCTCTAGGTCCATGGTACTGCAAGTGCATTGGACCGTGGTCCTGTGATCCAAAAACCCCACTATCTCTGTAATGCAGGAAACATTGCTTTCAGTGTTGTCAGTATCTTCCAGGAATAAACGTGAGCTAACTTGCCTGTCCTGTATCACTCCCAGCAGCAATCACAAATGCCAAGGAATAAGTGTTGTCAGGTTAAAGCCAGACAAACACTTTTAACTTAAAGAGAAAAAGGATTTGTCACAAGACTTTTGCTGATATTCGTAAATACATTTGATTTGGGTGAATTCTCCTTGTGTTGCAAGACAGGAATAATAGAATATTCAAGAATCTGAAACTATTACAAACATTTAGGAGTCTTCATTATATTGAAGATAGATTTCTGAAGACCAATGAAATAATGTTCTACTTCTGTCTTCCGTTGAATGGAAATGGGGGCTTCGTGATTTGTCAGCAGCGAAAAACATTGATTTCTACTGTGCAGTTTTTGACTCTGATTAGCAGGATTTATAATGCAGGGGTCAGAACAGGTACAAAACCCACCTGCAGATGTAGTCTTTACTTCTGACGAGGTCAACAGGAAACATCTCAGTTCTGTCAAAGAGATGGCATACACTGCTTGCTGGTGAGCCAAATTATAGATCAGTGACCTCCCTTTTATTTCCAAACATCTGCCAAAACATCTCCAAGCAGCAGTGTGGAAGCAGAAGCAGGCTCTAGTGAATGTTTAGACTCTTCTTCTTCCCAGATGCAAGAGAGAAAGGTTTAATGTTGGGAATTTCTAGACTCTTAGCTTAATGCACATTTTTTCAAAAGTAAATGAACAGATTTCCAGCACTTAGAAGCTGTTGGGTTTATGAAGGCTTTATCTGTAAATTTCTTGGCAAAGGATTTACTTTCATGTGTGTTTTTTAAATTGCTAAGGGCCTCAGCAATGTGCAATGGCTGGAATATAACAACGATGCAATGATTATATTCTCAAAAGTGTGAAACAACATTTTGCAAAAGTTTGCATGTCATATCTCATGGAAAAAACATTGAGGCAATAGTGCATTCAAACCATGTTAGTGCACATTAGTACAAGCTTTGCTTTGTGGTTTTATTTCTCCATAGGAGGAATTCTTAGCCACAGATGATACGCTTGTGGAATACTTTAATGAATTTTTGAGTCTTCCGGTAAGTACCTTACAGAAATCCCTTGCAAAATATAAGAAACACCTGACTAAGATTAAATCAGCTTAAAATATTTTGCATTTTTCTACTGGGTAGTTAAATGACTTATACAATATATCTGTATTTTAATGGTAGCAACTCTTATTGTTTAATGTTATTATCAGTGTCAGGAAAAATAACAGTATCTGCACTTCTGGGGACAGATATTGTCTTGCAAGTTAACATATTTAAATCATGGCTCACTAAAATAATATGGATAGGAAATGAAAAAAACACATAAATACTTATTTAAATAGTATGAGGAGTCCACATTTACTCCAGTATCACAACAAGCCAGCATAACAAATGTTTGTCCTTTTGCATTATTCTGGCAGTGCACTCGGTGATTAATAAACATTTTAGCTCAGAAACCAATTCTGTTTCTCTTCATGGCTGTGCAGGTGTGAAAGGTGGCATGCCTCTTCCTCTCCCATCTGCAGCTGGAAGGATGCAGCCTTACACCGTAGTTTGTGTTCTGATCTGGTTGCAGCTAGACCACTGTACCCAGTGCCCTATATTTAACCAGTTGTCCTATATTTTTCTCCTTTTCCTCATCAACTACCCTTCCTCCCCACACTGTTGTGACAGTCAGATGTACTGTCCTGCTCCCTTGACATGGCAGCCTCAACTTCATTTTAGTAGCCTTGGCCCTGACTATCCCTATTCTTTCTGTCTCCACACCTCACATCCCTATTCTCCCTCAAAGTGGCACAGACCTTTCCGCAGCATAACTCATGGCTCCTGTGGGGTCTGATCTGAGGCAGAGCTGTCCCATGGCCTGTGCCCTCCCAAAGCACTGCAGTCCAACAGGCTGTACTGTGAGAACATACACCTATTTCTGCAATTTGCTTGGTAGGAACCACCACCAGCATTAGGAAGGGGCAGTATATTTTTTGATGCTCCTTGGACTTAAGACTATGGTGTAGCCACCATTGGAATAAATTGTTATGATTCAGGCTTATCAAACCGAACTAGACACAGATGTGCTCTCTAAGCCACATCACAGATTTGTGTAAAAGTACACATAATGGGATTTGCAGAACTAAGGATGGCAGAATGGACTCTCCATACCTATTTTTTATCTTAAAATAAAATCTGGAGGTATTAACTCTGTATCAGAATGTGGGGTTTATGCACAGCAGCGATACTGACTTCCCTGAGGAGACTCAGCCTTTTCATACTTTCACCACACTGCAAGATTCCTCAGAATAATTTTTACAAAGCTAGGGAGACACAGATGGAAGAAAATGTGTGTGAGAGGGCTGTTTCCACACACCCCCCCCCCCCCCCTTGCAGCTGTTCTAGAATATCTGTCTAAGTCTAAGCCTAACTACATAGCTTTTAAACCCAGGCCTCCTTCCTTGTGCCAGATTGTTCTTAGCACAGGAATACCATCCTCCATGCCTTTGCTGCTTATTTGGAAACTATGCTTCAAGTTTTCCTCAAATCACAAAGGACAGAGTGGGTAAGAAGTTCAGCTTGCTTAGTTTCTGGGTCTCCCTGGATGTGCACAGATCTCAGAACGTTTATTAGAGGCCAAAATTCTCCTTGGCCTCAGAGGGCTCCTCAGCCCCTAGTCTTGGCGCAGCTCAGCAGCTCTGAACTGCAGTGATTGTCCAGGCATTCCTGACCGCTCTGGAAGCCCACAGAAAAGAGTTTACAGACACTCTTGAGTAAACACTGTTTTATGCTGGTAATCTTGTTAGGTTTCTAAGATGACACATGGTCTCTATTCTATGTATTGACATATCTTCATGAAAGCATGCTCTATTAGCTACTTTTATCTGTAATGTTCTCATAAATGTTTTTATTTTCTTTGACCTTTTCCTGAGGATTTACCCTCTTCACGATTAAGTTCTATTAATTCCTGAGTTCTGTGGTTTGAATACCTTATATTCCCAAGTTCCTTCTCCTTCTCAGAAGGCTTCTACTAAAACACCACACTGAAATTTCCATTGCTTTATTCTTGTTGTATTTATATGCAGTTGCCTGGGAACAGTATTACCCAGGTGTGCTAGTAGTTAGGCAACAAGTTAAACTGAAAATATTGTGTGACTTGATACCAGAAATCAGGGGTAGCATATGCTTATTTTAAGGGACTGCCTCTGCATTGATTTATAATGCACCGGTAGTGTATGGAAAATTGTATTACTGGGGACTTGCTGTAGCAGCAGCAGATTGGGGTTGTTTTGTGTTTTTTTTTGCTTTGATTTACAGTATATCCTTTAAGTGATCCTGTTGTTATAATAATATTCAATACAATCTGACATGAATATCTAGGTACTCCAAAGCTCTATATACTGTAATGAAGGATAGTTTGTACAGAAAATACTTATGAAAGATAAAATAATACAAAAATCCTCATGAGGGCACTTGTTGCCAGTAGTACAATGACTTCACAATAGCAGAAATCAATTACGTGACACACAAACTAGTAAGTAATCTAAAATGAAAGATTTGAGAGAAACATTGGCAAGAATACACTTCCATTTCTAGCCTGATAGGCATCCCTACAGTTTGAATCTTTTATCCATGTATCTAAAACATCCAGTTTTAATATATTCACCCAAGAATGAAAATTCAGAAGCCAGGAATGAAAATTCAGAAGTCAAGAATGGCCATCCAGCTCAGTGTTGGAGGCTTCAGTAAGAAAGTGCAGTAATGTCAACTTATTTCTCCTGAACTTTGTAAGCTGACTGCTACTTGTTCTACTCCAAGTCCATGCTGTGGCCTTACCTCGTAATTTTCCAGTTACCACTGATCCTGATGAAGGCACACTCCTCCTCTTTGCAACCTCAGGGAGTTGCGCTAGCAACGAAAGTGCTAACTGTACTTCATTTGAAGCATATTCAGGAGATGACACTTTTGGTGGCAAATCCCTGGCTGTGGGTTTTGCTTGCAGCAGAAAGCTACCAAGGGATCACAGTTTCATCAACTTCAGATTTGAAGACTACTTCTTTTGAAATTGTTCTCATTATAAAAGCTCTCTGCTGAGTAGTCAGGATCCAGAATTTGGTGCAGGTGATGATTCTGAAAACAATTAAAGCCCAAGTAATAAACTTTGAGTGAATTGGTCTTTCTGAAAGCAGAATGGTCCTGAAAACCTAGTGCTCTCAAGAGCAGAAACAGCCCTGATCTACAAAGTAGCAAAAGATGGAAAGGACAGAAGGCAATCCACTGTGCTGTATAGTTCCAGCCCTTCTCTGTTTTGAAGATGGCTGTGACTAATTTGATGCATCAATGCATCAATTCAATGCATCAGTGCATGCTCATTAGTTTCCTCTTGTCTTTTCTAGGTGTGTGGAGGGAGGCTGCAGGTGCCAATACAACCTCCCTTAAAAAGGCTTTACATTAATAAGGCCCCATATGCATATTATGTCAAGACTCAGGTCTAGAACTTGCTTGATATCTTTGACATTCAAGAAAGCAAAAGAAGCATGTTTTACTTTTTTTCTTGTTGATAGTGGGTTTATTCAAAATGTTAATTAGATTGTGATACGTAATTGTGACCTGTGTCTTACCCATCAATGGAAAGGAAATCCTGGACTCATTAAAGTCAAAGGGAGATTTGCCACTGGCCATCTGCAGTGTGAATTTTCCAGATACTTCATAGAACTGCTCAAATTCTCTTCTGGTCTGGACTCTCACTGACATTTAATTATGCTACACACCCCCCTGTCTTAAGGAAGTTTTGGCAAAGCTCCTCGATGAGGCCTCTATTAATTCCCACCCTTTCAAGGCCTTAACCTAAGAGGCAGCCAAGCTGTGGTCATTCTATTTCTCCTGGAATCTAACTACGTTATTTGGGGCGGGATGTAGTGAACGTATTTACACTTTGTTAACTGTATCTGAAGTTATCTGAAAACTGTTAAGGCAGAGAACAGTGAGATTTATACGCCTGACATCCTGGTAACATGGTGATGGATGCTGTTTTGGTTTCTGTTTTGGGAGGACCGAGAGAAATTTGCCTTCCCTTCAGTTAAATGTATAACTTCAGGTTTCAGAATTATGTATTCTATTTATTCTTCAGCTGAAACCATATTCAATGTGCATTTGACAGTTAAATTTCTTTGCTGTCAAAAATGTACATGCAATGGTTTATTTATTTAATAGTATTGCTGTAATACAATCTGAAAACTGCTTTTTGTTGTTTGCTTGGAGATTTTTTTCTGATGCTGAGGTTACCACACTGAGTTACATTGTTCATACTGAGTTCAAGGGGAGAATTGTCTGAGTGAAACAGTTTGCAAAATCAGCAGACCTCTTATTTGTTGGTATTCTCAAGTCCTAGTTGATCCTATTTATTGTGTTAAATTCATAATGTATGAATCCCAAGCTTCAAGGCTCCTGCCAAACCATATTTATTTTTTCTTAACATCTTGAGGTATAATTTGTCTCTGGAGTTTTCCATCTTCAAGGGATCAAAAATTGGCCCAAACTAGAGAGAGAATGATACACTTAGTCTTTCCTTAGTGTATTTTACTTGTCTGTAAAAAGCCAAAGCACTTGCCAAATGTGGGGTAAGAAAGATATTTCTTAGTATATTAGATTGGCATGGATGACTTTTTCCCCTTCCTTCCTAGTGTAGGTTATTACCCACTCATTGACACAGGCATCTTCACTGAAGAGATTCATCATTATTGTAATGACCTAGAATATTGGTGGTGCTATAAGCCTCTCTCATTACTGTCCTGTGAAACATTGTATGATTGTACAGGTCTTGGCTTCTGTGGAAAAGGTTTTAAGTTCACTACAGGGTATTGAACAGGGTTTTTTTTTGCTTTTTTTTTGTGGCTTGTAATGTGTGGGAATGGTTAGATAGTGTGTTTTGCTCCAAAGTTCTTCACATACCAGAAGGGAAATGGATTGACTGATCCTCTCTCCTTTACTGTAACTGGGAAAATGTTATCTACAAGAAATCACACTTTTTTTTTTCTGTTCTCATTTGATTTTTTTGTCTTAACATTATCATTTTATTTTTGTGGCTGGGATGAGTTAAGGAGGTCAGGACTTACCTCTTCTTTTATTATGCTTATAAAGACATTCTGATTTATCATTCTAGTTTTCCTAAGTAAGCAAACTATTCCAAACTATTCTAGAATACTTTTATACGATCACTTTATGAGATGCTCTCTCTAGTAGAATTTGATATCTGTACAGAATCATAGGTTACTCAGGCTGGAAAAGGCATTGGGGAGGTCTGTAATCCAGCTTCCTGCTCAAAGCAGAGACAGTGCTTTAGTATTGAAACCAGGTTGCTTGCTACTTTCTCTTGACCTTGAAAACCTCCAACAACTGATTTCATAGTCCCTCTGGACAGCATGTTCCAATGCTAATCATTCTACACACAATACCTTTTTTCTTATACCCAGTTGAGATCTCTATTTCAGTGTATGACCACAGTCTCTTGTCCTCTCACCATGCACCTCCACAAAAAGTCTGGTCTACTTTCTCAGTAATCTTGTAAGTACTTTCAGGTTGTTGCTAGGTCCTCCTAGAGCTGCCTCTTCTACAGGCTAAATAAGCCCTCTTCCCTCAGCCTGTCCTCACAGGGAAAGTGCTCCAGCCTCTGACCAGCTCAGTGGTCTTCTGCTGGACTTACTTGAATATGTGAACATTCTTCCTGCACTGGGAACCCAAGACTGGATGCAGTATTCCAAATGCAGACTTATTAGTGTCAAGTAAAGAGGATCTACTGGCTACTTTCTGACTGATACAGGAAGTATGTGATGCCCTTTTGATGTTCTTAGGTATAGGTAACTACACCTTCGTCCTAACCCCAAAAGTCTGGACAAGAACAACCTTTTTCAGTCAAGTATGTAGTGTATGAAGTTTTAATCTTCTTATCCTATCAGTGTATGTTCTTTGTTCCTCCAGTATATTTGTCTTACAAAGGATTTGTAGTCAGACTCCTAAAACAACAACACACTTTACATTTGAAAAATTGTTGCTTGCATCTGTTTCACTACATTTAAGTTTTTGTGTGTTTTCTGTTTAGGTAATTAGAATGTATACTGAAAAAAATGAGATCTAGAGTAAGTTATGAAGGATTAAGTAAAAATAGATGTGTGTGATAAACTAATGTTGTTGCTTAGTTTCCAAAGTTAAACAACATGGAACTAAAACAATCTGATCACATCTAGTCACGTAGCCCTGTATTATGGAATTTGTACTTTGTTTGCTTTTTTCCACAAGCAAGAGAGTTTCAAATCTTGAAAGACTGATGCACCTTGTTTCTTAATGTACTTCTGTTTCTTTTTTTAAAAACATGAAAAAATAAATAGGGAAGAATACATTTGGAGGTTATTAAGGTTGCATAGTTAGTCACATGAATATTGTTAGCAGCCCAAATTAGGTTTGAAAGTAAATGAAATATACACATAGCAAACTGGGAGGAGGTCTGAACGAAGTACAGAGAAATCTACTACACATAAAAGGCTCTTTAAAATGCTGTTCAGTACATCTGAAAAAAACCTCCAGAGTACCCTGGAGAAAATTAATGCTAAAAGAGGCACAAGGTGTCAGAGAACAAAAACCAAGCCACGATTTCAGCTGAAGTTAGGTAACTAAACAGACCAATGCAATTCAATGCATGGCTCTGAGCAGTGACAGTCTGATGTCATAGGTGCTAACCATACACTTAAAGCTCTCACATGCTACATGTTTTGCCAGGCTGAGCATCCACAGTGAGACATTATGGGATAAGCAGGGAATGTTGTAACCACATGTTGCAGCCACATGGTTCGATCCTGGGCTTTACTCTACAAGACTTTGATTAATAAAGGGGCTTCAAACAGAAGCAACAAAATAGCTGACACTGACATGGTTACTTTGGACTTCTATAGGTGTGGAGAAGAATAAAATTGTCTGTGATATATTTCTATAATATATGTAGCATGTATTCAGCATCTATGGTATGTATATGAATTATGTCTATATTCTTATACATGTGATATATAAAAAGTTCAAGGAAATTGAAACCACAGTGCTTGAAAAAATAAAATAATCTTATTAAGTGTAGGCGAACGACAACTGTACAAACACCAGGTGGGATCATGTCTGGAATGAAGCCAAAAAGAATTTTGGCAGAGGGTCTGGATACGGCCAGGATTTTCTTCAGTTCTTAAATACAACATGCCTTCTTGTCTTCCAGCTCTGTGTGGAGATGCTTATATGCTCTGCTTGTATATCATCTCATATTCACAACTGTCTTGGGTATCCTCCATTACTTGTAAAATCCATCCATATTTTCCCTCTTAATTTTAAGGAAGAGCATTTGAAAGATAGTCTTTCAGGGAAATACCTAATACCAGAGCTCAAAAGATGAAAGATGATTCTGTCTTAATGTGTACACATGCAGTGTTTTTTTCTTTTTTTTTTTTTTTTTTTTTTTTTTTTTTTTTTTTTTTTTTTTTTTTTTGTTGTTTTTTTTTTTTTTTTTGAGTTGACAGAAGTCACAGTTATGTAGCAGAAGTTGAAGTCTGGTCAACCTCATGTCTCAGACACTATCTGAACTGGTGATGTATAATAACTCACTACAAGCCTTAAAAGTTCTGGTAGGTATTTGACCTAAAAGTAACAATATGATGAAAAGCCATTCTTACATATGGAAATTTTCAGTTTCATCCTCTTCAAATGCATCTCATTTAAAAGGTCTGCTTCATTGCTAATCTTTTCAAGCCTTGATTGTTTGTGGTAATGAATAGGAGAATAGCACTGGAGATCTGATCCTGTAGGTAAGTAGCCCCCTGCAGAACAGTTACTAAAGTCACTGTGAATGATATATTCCAGACATCTGTGTACTGGGTCTATTATTTGCATATGAAAAAGAATGGTCTGTGATCTAGAATGAATTAACATTCTTCACAATTAAGCGTAGCTGAGATAAAAAGTAGGAATGCATTGGAAAACTACACAGCATAGAGACTAAAGAACAAGAATACAGCAAAAATTATTATTCCAGGCCCCAAACATAAGCTACTGCGGGCAAGAGAAGGAAACCTCATAATACCAGGTTGCAACCTGTAGGATGCTCCTATACTATAAAAATTAACTTTCTTACATTAAAAAAGTTCCCTTATTACAATGTAATAAAATTTCCAAATATTTTTTTTTGCAGACATTTGCCCAGACAGTTAAGTTTAACTCTGACTTTGGGGTTTTTGAAGTTGTTAATGATGCCCCACAATGCCTTGAAAGCCAGCTGAAAAAAAGTCTACATGAGCAGAAAACTCCAAAGCCCATTTATGATGCTCTAAGGAAAGTAAAGAATGATGGGCACCTCTCCAAAATGCGCACTGCTTCTCCAACCTTCAATATTGATGCAAATTACAACACTATGGTAAGCATCTTATAGCCCCTGAGTTTATATTTAGATCTTACTGTAGAGATACTGGCAGTAGTTTTTGTTGTGTTTGGCTTGGTAGCTTGGGAAAAATGTTAATTTATGTTAGGAAAACATAATGATGGGCCAAATTATGCCCTGCAATGCACATGTGTCTAGCAGACAAGTGAATGGAATTACAGATGTACATCCTGTAGCACAGAATTTTGAAGATTCCGTAGGGCAGGATTCAGTTGTGTGGTCTGAATACTTTTTAATATTAAAAGAAAAAATATTATGACAACAGTTACTTTACTAGTGATCCCTGGAATGTGCAAATTGACTGAAACTAATGCATCTCAGTCTTTCCTTATTAATTAATTTCCTTGTGTGGCTATGAGCTCATCTGTGGTCTGGCAACACATAAGTCTCTCTTCTATTAATTCCCAAAGGATTTACATGGTTACCATCAATTGAAATGGCCAGAGAAAATAATCTTTGGCAAAAAGAAAGCAAAATTAATGGAAAGATAGGTTGGATTTTAGAAAAATAATCTTGTTTTTGACTTGCCCAGACATTACCGATTTTGGTATTCTTACCTGTTTACTTTACTTTCAGGGCTTTCTTCAGCACCAAATTATTCAGGTTAAAATCAGGAGTTGAAGCGCCATATGCACCTGAAAGAATACAAGACAGTATAATTAGTTGTGGGACTTTACCTTTAAGCAACAGCTTTTGAGGAGAAAAAAACGTTTCACTGGGATACTTGGTTTATTCTTTTCTTGCTTACTTTGCATAGGTGTGACTGCTGTGACTTCAGTTTGTTTCATTCAAGGCCAGGCTAAGGTATTTCTGTATTTTTAGAAGTGGCTGCTCTAAATTATGTCATAGCTGGAAAGCTGAGAGAAAAGCAAGGAGCTGTAGCAAACTGCTATTTTGCCTAGTATAAGCTTAATTATTTTCACAAAAGAAAACAGTGTTGAGAGAGGTCAAAAGGCAAACAGGTTTAACAAAGTGATAGTAATGTGAGATAGCAATTATCTGCATCTAGACTGAAAAAATGCTACAACGGCACAAGGCTCACAGGCATCCCTACCATGTTAAATAATTATTTTCACAAATATTTTGCTTGAGAGCACAAAACTGGAAGAACTATTCTTGATTTCTTACTTGCTCTCAGGATTAAACTGAGGAAACATTGTGTGCTTGTGCAAGTGTGGCCAACACTCTGTGGGATAACCTTACATCATTGCAACTGTGGATGGCCTTTCTTGACAAATTCAAAGCCATTTCACTATTGCTTACATCTTTCATGTGGTTTGGAGCAACACAGCTCCTATATTATTTAAGAATACATTGCTTTCTCTGGGCCATTTTCCATAGATGATGGTCTTTTGTGGAGTGATACGCCTCAGTATGCTTTCTTCTTGGGAGAAAAGGGTGAAGTTTTTTCTTATTTTTGACTCCTTCACTGGGTAGGTAGCATACATTCCTCACCCAGTTGATAATGCCTTGGCATCTCAAGGCTGAACTGGAACAACATGGCCTGCACACCAGCATATCAAAAATTGTTACTGCAACTACACAAGGTGAAAGAAGCCAGCTTCATTCATTGTGTTACGCTGTGACAGAACCAGAAGTCATCATCCCAGACCAACTGCATCAAGTAGTTCAGTTCATCTCAAATAGGATTTGATCTTTCAGGCATCAGCTGATGCTAGCCTTTTTCCTTTAACTTTCTTCACACTGACTGAAGAGACTAACAGTTGCTTTGAATGTTACATTGCTACAAAAAAGTAGCAAGAGGCCATCACTGGCACATTTCTAACGAAAATGAGCTATGGTTGGAGAATCCTAGTAGGCATTTCAGGCTACAGCTTGAATTTAAACAAATCTTACCTAAGAAATACACCTACAGGTATTTTTCTCTGTATTTTACTTCCCTCTTAGACTGTTACAAATTTACAGATAAGCAAAAGTTCTCTGCACGTGTGCATGCACACTTGCAAATTATTGATACAGAGGTAAATACCTTCTTATCAACAGCCAAAATCAATTTGGTGTAAAATACATTAAGAAAATAAACCTGCTGAGCTGGGTAGAATTGATCACAACTATGGAAAAAACCTGGCTGGCATCCCACATACCTTACTTCAGAGAAACCCCAGTTCAGCAAAACACTTAAGTATGTGTTTAACTTTAATCAAGGGAAGTTAAACACATGCTTAAACTTAAACACGTGCTAAAAGCTTTGCTGGATTGAGTCCCAGCAAGGCCTAAGGCTGACTGGGTAAGGAAGCTAACCAAGGTAACAAAACTCATCAGATTAAATGTAGCATCTTTCTCTGGGGGAAGGGGAAAGAGTAGAGATTCTTTTGTTCTGATAGTATATATAATGTTGTGTACCAGCCATGTACAGACACAAACATGAATCACTCAGATAAAAAAACTGGGCTGTTATTCAGTAAATATGTAAATATTAAATGCCAAAATAAAGAGACAATCTTTTGTATTTCAAAAAAGCTTGTCAGTTACCAGAAAGAGGCATACACTGTGTGGTTGGGACTAATTAGTCTCCATCTCCACAAATTAGTGTATGAGCCACTGCCAACATAAGCTTTTCATATTTTGAAATATTTTCTTCTCTCTAAATGAAACCACCCACATTCTGAGTAATTCAGATATTTTTTTAATCCCCTACAGATATATATGAGGCAGAATAACCCTTGTCCCTAATGGAATATTAGCTCATGGAAATAAAATTTAAAATGTAATCTACACAACTGATTATTTGATATAGCAAGTAGCATTCACCTTTGCCCCAGCTTCACCTGTTTTTATGGACAAGAAGAGTTACTGCATTCTTCCAAACCATCAGTCTCACTTTCACTAGAAGGAAAAATGCACCTCAGATAAATAAAACAGCTCATCCCCTAAGAATGGAAAAAGTACACTCTTAAAAAAAATATTGAAGTATGCTGTGTGTCATTTCTAAGGGAAACAGCTATGGATCACTGCGGCCCATAGTCAGAGATCTTGCTCTCTGTGTAAATTCTTAGGCATTGTTTTTGTTTGCTGGCTCTGTATTTGCTCGCTGTTCAACACATCCCTTTCATACCCCAGACCACTCTTTGGAAGCACCTCCCTTTCTGCTTTGATGAGGCACTGATGCTTGGGCTGCCTAAGCAGAAATCTGTTACCAGCCCGATTCATAAAATACTTAGGTTTCCATTATAAGTGTTACTTTGTGCAATGCAGTTCTGCAAAGCTCTGACATAAAAGTGAGAATCGTTTTAGCTGATAGGCTTTTTATTTGTTTGATTTTGTTTTTAATATCTACAGCTCTCTGATTCTCAGAGTCTAATTTAATTTAAGGGTTTCTTAGTCTTCAGATTCTTGAAGAAAAATAGTGGGTTTTTATAAAATGTGATGAAGTCAGAAAAATCAGCTGTTTCCTGTTGCAAAAAAAAAAAAAAAATCTATTTTGCATTTTGATTTGTACAGCAAAAGCACGATCGACGCACATACTATTTCTGAAGAAAAAAACACCATGATTTGTTAAAAAAATTGTACTCTTATAGATGAAATCAGATTTAGACCTTTTTAGCTGTTGTTAGGAAAGTAAATCAACTCAGTTATCCCAGCATGGTAAAGGCTAAACTGGACCTCACTTGGAGTACTGTGTACAGTTCTGGTGTCCTCAACATAAAAAGGACATGGAACTGTTGGAGCAAGTCCAGAGGAGGGCCACGAGGATGATCAGGGGACTGGAGCACCTCCTGTTGAAGACAGGCTGAGAAAGTTGGGGCTGTTCAGCCTGGAGAAGAGAAGGCTGCGTGGAGATGTCATAGCAGCCTTCCAGTATCTGAAGGGGGGGCTATAAGGATGCTGGGGATGGACTTTTAGGGACTGCAGACATTAGACTGTAGTGATAGGAAAAGGGGTAACGGGTTAAAACTTTCCAATCTAAACTTCCCCTGTTTAAGTTTTAACTTATAAGGAAGAAATTCGTTTATAAGGAAGAAATTCTCTACTGTAAAGGTGGTGAGGCACTGGAATGGGTTGTCCAGGGAGGTTGTGAATGCTCCATCCCTGGTGGTGTTCAAGGCCAGGTTGGACAGAGCCTTGGGTGACATGGTTTAGTGTGAGGTGTCCCTGCCCATGGCAGGGGGGTTGGAACTAGATGATCTTAAGCTCCTTTCCAACCCTAACTATTCTATGATTCTGTAACAACAATAATGTCCACTGCATATTTGTTTTCCTGAGACAATGCCTCTGTAGAAGGGGATTGGAGTGAATCAGTTACATGGCAAACAAAGCAAGGAAGTCAAGAAAACTGCAAATCTTTGGCATTTCTTTTTTAATAGTGCCTTGATAGAGAACAAGCAATTCAGTGGATTAAGAAAGAAAGGCTTCCAGCATTTCTTGAAAGCGACTGTTATTTTGAATACAGGTATTACAATCTTTTATGCTTTCAGTTTTAAATTTGTGTAGTTTTTCTCTTCTGTTTAATTTATCTTGACAGTACTCTTAATATGTTTTCTCCCACCTCTAGGTCTGTTTGTTTAATTTTAGTATTTTTGTGACCTGGATAAAGTAAAATCAGAGCCTTTTTTTCACTCGGCTGTTTGTAATTTTCTTTGACCATGAATTACTGTTTTCTGAATCTGTGTTCCACAGAGATATCATGGTAGTAATGCATCTTTCTCTGATCAATATATAAGCCATGTAAGTGGAAGTTATGAATCCATAAAATCTATTTAGAAAAAAATAAGCCAGTCCTTTTTATTTCAGTTACTAGCTTTGTGTCTGTGGGACCCACTGTCAGACTTCCTTTTGCAAGGTTCTCTGTGGGATGCTGTGGCATAGTTGGATGATGCACTGTTATACACCTGCTATATATTTCCAGATGTCCTTTCAGCAGATGCTCTTCATGTATGCTTTTTTGAAGATCTGCCTCTACATCCTTCAAGGTTCTGTCTAGATCAAGATAAGCCGAGATGCTAAAAGGGAAACTTGCATTTATAGATGAAGATACCCCAACCCTAGAATGAAATCCTATTTTCCTTCAAATAGTGAGGACAAATTAAACTGGGCATTCACTCATGGTCGTAGGCTCAGGCATAGGCTTTGTTTTTCCCTTCACATGCACTTTGGTTGGTTTTGTACTGCTTTCTAACTTAGCTAAGTTTTGCCCCAGTTCTTGAGCCCGGAACACCAACATTATCAACATATGGTTCTAAGACTGCCTTTTTTGAACATCCTGATGTTCACACTAACACAAGATAGCACCAGAGGGCTCTTCAGTCCTATGATGTCCTCAGACATCTGCCAGTTGAATACAATAGCGCCAGTTGTCAGTTGTCATCTGAAAGTTTAATTAGTATGATCACTCCTGTGGCATCACTGCTGGAAGATTGTTTGTATCAGGAAGTGTAGTGTCTGGTGATGATACCAGACTTCTGCAATCTGGAACAATAGTTCCATTTTAATGATCAAAATATTTGAGGGCTTCTTAGCAGGGCTTGGGACTGCATAGATACATGTAAGAGCATCCTGACAGAAACTGGTTTTACTGGTAAAGACTGATAATACAAGGCAGGTCACCATCTGTAAAGCTGGTGGACTACAGAATGGCAGTACTGGTGTTTATGAACATGACATAATATGGGTGAAATAGTATGATCTGTGAAATAACATGATCGAGGTCATGATCTGCTGATCATGACCTTCTCTGTAACAATTTATTTTTAGATGGGTCATGGGTTTTATTGCCTATTCTGGGGAAAAAAACCTCAACTTTTTCTCTGATTAAAAGCTAAAATTAGCTATTGTCTCAACATTTAATTTCAGGCTAGCTAAATTGATATCACAGGTAGAATGGAGCAAGACTGGCATTAATTTCATTATCGATAATGACTACTATCCCTGGATAAGGAAGCAAGACCCAAGTCCTTCCCCTCCTGAGGAGGATGACACTTCGATGACTGTGAGAAAGTTAAATATATCGCTTGGAGTGGTAATATAAAAATGTTTAGTGGGTGTAACATCAAGATATATTGAATGCATTGGGTGAAATTATTGTAACTGAGGTCACAACATTATTGGACATCTGATTCTCTGAATATCCCTCATTTTCAAAGCTTTTTGTACTGCAGATGAAGGTTGTTGGTTTGTAATATAGCTAAAACACAAGCTGTGTTACAAGTATGCTCAGCTACCATCATACAGCTCTCTTCACTGGGAACTAATGGTACAGAAATCTACACAAACAAACTGCACAAAATGACTACAGACAGTAAGCTCTGCTCTCAGAAACACTGCAATAAACAGAAAAAATTGAATTGTTCTATGACATTTCTTTTCCTAGGCTACAGTTTCTCAGACAAAGGATTGTTTTACATTAGCAAAAGGAAGTGAATTAATGAAAACTACAGATTCATTCTCACATCCTGTAGCTTCTAGTCAAACTCAGTGTTTGTCTGGACAGCGTGAAAGAGATGATTCATTAAGTGAAAAAGATAGTCTTCTGGGTAAGTAACAGAGGCTCAGCCATAGTATTTATAACAGAACTCTGACTAGGTGGAAAGAAAAGGCATTCCAAGAAATTGCTGCTAACTCGTTATATTCTGAGTATCAGACGATATCTTAGGTTTCAGACAGGGATTTGTTTCCACAGCCACAATGTTAAATGAAATTTTGAGCTACAAACCAAGAAATTTTGTGATAGTAGAAGCCTCTTTTCTTACATATTTCTGTTTCATAGATATCTGTAAGTTTCAGCTGTTTTTCTTGTTTGTTTTTCCATTTGATATGTTTTGAAAGACTTTCTTCATAGAATCATAGAATGGTTTAGGTTGGAAGAAACCTTAAAGATCATCTAGTTCCAACCTCCCCTATCCCTGCCTTTTTGTCTGGATTCTTTGGGTATTTGATAGTGTATGGTTTGTGTTGCAGCCATCTTCTTAGGGTATTTATGAGAGGCACTTTCAAAGGCCTTCTGGCTGCCAATTTTTATGAATCTTATAGAATGTAATTGTGACAATTCTGTCAAATTCAACTGAAATTGTTCAGCAGGTTTCAAAGAGAGAGAATGCATGTGAGAGAACATAGAGATTGCTTGCAGGTTAGGGACATTATGGGCATACCTGATAACCTTGCTTCTGTTAGGTAGGCAGTAGCAAAATGAACAGGGAAGTCTCAGCTTATGTTAGGAGTTCTCTGGCCCCAATTCTTGGGGGGAAAAGCTGCCATTCCACTCTGAGGCTTGTTCTGATGGGACTATGGTGTCTAATGGCTGGATGGAAAATTGGAAGACATGATAACTCCAGAAGTCTGTCTTCTTCCTCAAACCCGTAAGGATCATCCCAGGATATATATTGCTGATGCATGGTTTATTAATGAAGTTATTGAAACTGCTTTTGTTTGCAGCTCATGACTTCACCACTAATTATTGCAGTGCTTTGAGCAGAGAGGTCACACATGCGCCATTCTTGCAGAGCTTTTATGTAACTCTGTGTTGCAGTGGGCTGGGCGTAAGCCTACAGAAAGCCTCTCTGCCCTGTTTGCCTGAAGCTGTCCTGCAGTCAACAACATTTTGCCTCAGTTAATATTTTACATCTAAAAAAATTATTTTATAACATAGACCTTCATTTTCCCTGTGCTTATTATTCTTCTTTATGCTAATTTCATGGGAAATCCAGCATTTTTTGTCAGAATTTCTATTCAGGCACAGTATTCACCTGGTGTCAGGCACTGGAAGCAGTAAAGGGCATTAGTTAAGTTTCTCAGAGTCAGCCTGCAATTAGAAAGAGTTTGAATTCCTTGCTCACTGCTTCAGTTGGATCAAGGTTATCAATTAATGTCTTGAGCAAAACCCTGATCCACTTGACTTTTGATTATTCAAGAACTGTGTTTCTCCCTCCCTAATTGCCTCAGGTCCTGTTAAATCATTCTTTATGTTTCAATTTCACAGAAATGTGTTGAGAAGGTATAATTTTTCTTTGTCAAGTGAAAACATTTGAATACAATTGTCTGTCTGTGACAGTGGCCAGCACTAGTTAGATGAAGCTTCTTTTTTGGAGAAAGATGGAAAGAATGTTTAACTACCATTGCCATTTATTGACCAGGCCACCATAGATGTTTGCACTAGCTGATGACATTACAAATGTGAATTCAGTGGATCTGAGAGATTTAGCCCTTTTCTGTCGCAACCTTATGTAGGACATGTGCTCAGAGATTGTATCAGTCTCCTCACTGACAATGTTTTGCCTACCTACAATAGTGATACAATACCTGCATCTTGGCTTTAGGGAAATACAGATTCAGTCTATTCTGTAGTTTAAGCACTGGATTGATATGAAGATATTGTAGAGCCACAGCTGAACTATGACTTTTTGTTTTTTCTTTATTTCACTTAGATTCTGCTGCTGTTCATAATACCTGTAGTTATTCTGCTCAGTTTTATAGGACTGACTTGTACAGTGACAGCAGCATTAACCTAGCTGAGCAGTATGCATAGTCAAGGTCATCTTTGTTAACATGCTCCAGAACTACTTGATTTGCTGAAAGTCTGGCAGAAGTAGAAAATGTATTTGAGCAAGTTAAATCAGTGAATTTCTTTCTCAGAAGACCAGGATGATGGGGCATGATTAATAGCATGGAGACACTGAGGGGCTGGGAAAAAAGGAATTAAATAGAGAAGTGTAGACGAAAAAAAACCAGGGCTGGTCACTGTTATAAACTTGTTAGTTATGAAATATTTTTAAATCTAAATGAGCCATTCCTGGGTGGCAGATTGGACTGCAGGATTATTAAATGTTTCCAGAGCCCTTGACATAATCATTTGTTTTGTTATCCCATGTATGTCAAGAATTTACCCAACTGACAGAGGCCTGTTTGATGCTTTAGTCTTTTCCAATAACCAACTTAAATAGACAAGAATTATCACTTACTAGTTTTCTCAGGCCTAAACAAAACCCAATCCTGCTACATACTGTGACTTTGATCACACTATGATCACAGGCTCAGGAAGAAAACAGATCTTGCAGCACAACAAGGTGGTTTAACAAGTGCTGAGGAGCTGGGTTGTTCAGCTGAGTAAACAAGACAATTAACTCCAGAGGAAGTTACTCCTGAACTCTCCTGCTCTGCTGGAATTCAACAGGGAATGAGTTTCTGAGTCATGGGGCTGAATTTCTAAACCCATAGCAACGGCAGAAGCTATTCCCTGCTCTGCAGTGTGACATGGTCTGATTGTTCTGCAGTAGAACAATATAAAAATATATTTGCATTTTTTAACTTGGAAATGTTGATATGCAAGAGAACGGTCCTGAATCTAAAGAGTCTTCAATGATCTTTTCTGATTTAATGCAGAAGCAGGTTCCCTGTCTAAGGAAGCCCACCAATGGAGTTTCCTTCGCCCTTCAAGGAAAGCAAAAGCCATCATTTTAAGGAAGACATCCAGAGAGGCTGAGGAGGGTTCTTCTGTGGCCATTGCTGAACTGCCTGCTCATACTCAGTTAAGAGTGTATGTAGACCCGAAATGGGACAGTGCAGCAAAAAAAAAAAATGAACAGGAAAGCGTAACTATTCAGACACCAGGAGAATTCATACCAGATTATACCCAACTTGTAATGAAGGAACCTGCTTCAGAATCGACTCGCCAGCCAACTGCTGACATTCACAATAATGTGGATTTCCACAAACAGCCTGAACTATTTATACATGAGCTATCAAATAATGAATTTGCCTGTGGCACTGCAGAGTCACTCCTTTCCCAAAGTTCTCCATTTTCTGTCTTGGACTCCCACAGAGATGTAAGAGAACAAGACACTGAAGAAGTAAGCTTAAAATCAAGTTCTGAAAGTGGTGGGTCAGACAGTAGAGCCTGGTGTATTAGTCACAGGACTTCTGATACTGGCAACAGACATGAGTTTGAGAGATTCAAGAAGTTCATTAAAGGAACACTTGGGGAGAGGTACTGGTGGCTCTGGATGGATATTGAAAGACTAAAGGTGCTCAAAAACACTACAAGGCAGCAAAGGTACTTCTCATTATTTAATGGTTATTCCCATTGTTTTAATACTTGTAACCCAGATGGATTAATGCAGGTTTTGAGATTTCAGAATAACTTGTAAAGTTTGAATAGTACAGACACATTCAAAGTAATCATGAGTGTCATAAGTTAGGAATGACTCGGTTGAAGCCGATAAAACCGTTTTTGCAGTCATGTTTGCAAAGCTTACATGAAGTCAAAATTACCATAGTATTATGGCATTGTTTAGAAAGAAATTTGGAAAACAGGTGACAATAAAAAAAAACAAAAACCACCCAAAAACTTAAATTCACAAGTAGGGCATTCAGTATAACAAACCGCTTTAACGAATGGCTCTGTGGAACTCAGATTGTCTATTCTAAAGCACTGTACATTTTACACACAACTTGTCTCTAATTTGTGGATTTTTTGTCTTTTGGCCTCTGCAATTTTCTATTAAAAACACTTTGCATGACAGCAGTTTAACCAGTAGGGTGATCTGTACTTGGTTCTGTCTAGCATTTGGTACATACTTATATGACTATTTTTATTGACTCAAGGCAACTCAATAAGATGAAGAAACTGTATCTTTTGAGCAGTGGAGACTACTTCCTCAGTTCAGAAGTGTTACTCAGACTTAACTTGTTGCATGGAGATCAGTGGAATGTAAGGCATTTAAGACGGATTCAGCCTGAAGTAGTGAAACCTCTGCTTCTTTACTGGTACGAAAAAGTGAACATAATATATTTTCCTTTTCTTTAATAAGCTTATTAGGTTTATTTCACTTCACTTATCCCATGGCAATTATGGGGAGCAATGTCATCATAAATACTAGCAGATGTTGCATCTGAATTTTTAGTTGATCCTAAACTACACTGCAATCTGCTGACGAGTCAGGTAGATCTGTCTTACTGAGCCCGTTATTTTACTGCCAGAGCATCTGAGCTACTTTGTGTATAATTATCTTGGATACCATTCAAGTAAACTTTAGGCTGCAGGTTAGAGAAACCCCTCCAGGCATAGAAGGTTAATTCTGTCCTAAGATATTCCCCATACTGCCCTTCTCAAGTTTCTGAGGATGCCCTGTGTATACATCTATGTGGAAATTGACCCTGAGACTTTACTGTTCAATGTCTGTCATACAAAATGCCTTTTGCTTTATTGACAGCTTAAACAAGGATACAAATTCTAACCTGTTTCCAAAACATAAGCTAATTTTTTGAACATATTCTCTCCTCCCCAAGGGGGTCAAGAAATTGCAGACATAAACAAGTACCTGCAATTGTGAACTTTGCTGTGGAGCCTCATGAGAGTTGTGGTGTATGTTCTATGACCTACAATCCTTCCCTATTATGTGCTGTAGGATGGATGGGGCATATCCTACTGCAGACTCACACAAAGGCAACTATGTAATGGTGCAGAATTTGCAACCTAAGTTTATTTATGTTTGGCTTGGTTTTAGATTTGGAAGAGTGCAATGTCTAAACATATCTTTAACACTAAGTGCTTTTTAAATTTAGGTGCACATAGCTCCATATTTTGATACAGGAAACACCATTATGGGGGAGGGGAAAGAAGCCAAATAGCCCAGTATTTAATGTTTTGTGAAAGTTCTACTTTTTAGATTTGTGTTTTGTTTTGTGTTTGGGTTTTTTGTTTTGTTTTTTTTTTTCCCCTCTAGGGGTCCCAGATTTTGTGTCACTGATTCAACAGCAATACAAACTGCCAGTGCAAAACTGAAGATGTGGCACACATGCCAACAGAGACCAAGGGTGGACATTGATCCTTTTCCACATATAGTATCATTGCTACCATTGACACTTAAGTCTTGCATGCCCAGGATACCACCTTCCCTTTCTCAGGTAGGTAGGATCACAAAATAGAAAAACAAAGCCTTGTCCCATCAAAAATAAAGATAAAACTCCTTGAATTCAGTGGAATAAGAATATAGTACTTGATTCTTATGAAGTCAAGATTTAGCAAGCTGGTCTGTGGCAGATGCTTGTATATAAAAATGCAACACTATTTTACTATACTTTATGCAACAGGATGCTATAAAACAAGTCAAATTATCTTCTCAGTTACATCCTGGCTATTTCATAGGTCTTTTGGATTGAAATGTAAAATGAAGTATCTATTGGCACAGATTATGCCCTTCAACCAGTTTTATCTTAATTCAGATTAATCCTTACTTCACTGCAGTTACCCTGAATTTACCCATTATGTTTGTAAAAAGGACACAGTTCTTATCTTCTGTTGCCTGCATCCTTCAGTCAACTACACATGATTTTTGCTTCTATAGAGGGTCATAAACACAGACGTTTTTGTAGCATGTCACTTGCAGGTGGCTACTTCAGTTTTGACTCTTGCTTGAAAGCCTGAATTTGAGAGATAACTGCAATGAAAGCTCCTGGTTTTCAGCGGCACAGTGTTAAGGCTCAGGACAGAATGTACCTGAAGAAAGCGACTCAGGTCTGTGGTTCCAGTATCAAGAACTGGATGGGCTATGCCATGGATCTGTTCACACACACATCTCTTACTTTGAGTTGGATAGTTTCAGGCTACAATTTTATTTTTTAGAAAGCAAATTCATGGAGATACTGGAGGAAAAGCAGTGGGACAGATTTCCTGTTCAGAAGAAGCTGGGTTCAGGAGCCAGATTCCTGCTGATCACAGCAGGAATAGGAGCCAGGCACAGCTGCCTCTTACAGAGACCAGTTCTGGCTTCACAAGGTGTGCTAATGATCCAGGACTAGCTGTAGGTTAGGCAGACAGGATCCTAACTCTGCAGGTTTTCCAGTCCCTGTTGAGTTCAGTACTTGAAGAAAATGATGACCTGGCACCCATGCACCTCACAGAATCAGCTGATGGACTGTTTCTTGCTGCTTTCCCTTCCCTCCCCTCTCCTCCACTCCCCTTCCCATCCTGAGTGACTGTATCTATTTTACAGCGACCTACTTAAGGCAGTCCTAGTAAAGAGTCACAAAACATGTTCAGGAGCTTTTCACCTGACATCTGCTGTAATTTCTACCTGTTAAAAATACAGTTTTAAAGCTATAATGGTTATTACAATGTGCTGAAAAATCTTGCAAAATATTCAGAGAAGATTTTTGCAATTTGCAGTTTTCCATACTGTGATTGACAAGGAAAAATAGACCTGAAAACTCTTGAATATTTTTTAGTAGTTAATGAGAACATGTTAAGAAAACACAAAGGTGGAAAAATAACCAGAATTGTCTTATTTTTCTGTTATTTATTTTAGAAAAGTAGAACAAGCTCACCAGCAACTTTATTAAAACCACCTATGTCAAATTTCTCTTTGAAGAAATCATCAAGATTATCACCTACCCTACCATCAAGACAGAGCCCCCAAAGGGATGACATTTCTACCAGTAGAAAGTGGTAAGTACAGAAGTCCCTTGTACTTCTTTCTGCATACCAGTGTACCTCAAATACTTATGAAAGACTTTTAGATCCTACTGTTTTAATGAATATTTTTCTTTACTATAATGATCTGCTTAGGGAAGCACACTTATGGTACAGATTGCATGCATGGAGAATTCCTCCCTGGCTGATTAGTTTCCCATTTGTTTGTGCCACCACACAGAAGTGTTTATTTCTCCAAACACAAGTGTTTTGCCCTCATTTGTGTAATAGTTGATATTCTCTACATACATTAATATTCTTTTAACCTGTCTCAAGCACTTACCCTCAAAGACATGCTGTATCAGTGATTTCCACAGGGCTGCATGAAAAAGTAGTCCTCTACATTTCTTACATTTATTGTAAGTTTGAAATCTATAGGTACTTTTTCCTCTACTGTTCACTATGTCATTCTACCTCTTTCCATGCCCCTTCTTAGTTGTTTATTTTATAAGAAGTCCTAGCTTTTCTTAAGTATGTATTGAAAATTTTGTTTATTTGTGGATCCAGGCCAAAGTCAGCCAACAGAGACATGATTCATTGCTCAGCTTTGGATGACACCAAAGACTCAAAATGCCAGGGTCATAGAAAGTACACCTATGCTGAGCTGCTCCAAGTAAGTACTACTTAAAAATAATAGTAATCTTGAATCATGGGTTAAACCACTTTATTCTCTAGTATTAAAGGGGAAGTAGTCAACTATGGGGAGAAATTGCTTTGATTACATAAATCTCCATGCCTTATGCAGAGGTATAATTAGAATGTCAGCATTTTCTGTGTGGTATCTTTCACCTATCTGGTTGGAAATCATGGCATATACAGAGGTTTATTTTCACTAGAAAATGTTGATCTTCTCCATGGTGACCATGTGTTCAGTAGGCTATTATGGAAAACTCACTGAAGAAATGCTTCAGTAGAATCACTGCCTAGAAGAGTATACCAGACTTACAGTGAAAACTGAATCTGCCCTAGAAAGTCATTAAAATAATAAAATCCTGAAGAGAAAAATGCTCCACTTGTGCTATTCCTCTTTGTTGTTTGTGTAATCCACTCTTTTCTTTGTTGAATTATTGCCTGCTAAGCAGGCCCTCAATCCAGCAAACTTCAGGAGGCACAGGCTACACAGTAGAGCCTCTTCTCAATAACTGTTAAAATGCTGACAAACTGAACATATGAGATGTCAAGATCTGGCAATTTACAATATATTCAAAACCCTTCATGTTTGTGGAATGGTCTTAAAACAGCCTGCTGTTTCAGTGAGATATTGATACCCATGGTCTCACAACTAGAACAGCCCACCATATTATGAAATCTGGGCTTGTTTACATATGCATGGAGTTCACTGATCACTTGAGCACATGATTGATTGTTTTTTTACATAAAAATCATACTTTATTACTTCACTGCAACCATTTTACTTCTTTGTTAATTTTGACAGAAGAAAAGGCTAGTCTTTGCAATTAGGGGACATTTGCAGTCAGAAACTTACATTCAGGAAATGTTCACACCATGAACTATTAGTTTTTATACAACTTCATAATTCAAAATTTCCCTCTAGCTGAGAGAAGAAAATACTATCCATTTACATGTACAAGGCTAGACGGGAACCTACAGTCACTACCCCAGTTTGCCATGATGCAAAGGGGAATGCAGGAATTCATAGTTCATCTTCATACTGGGGAGGGGGTTCTTCCTAATCTGCTTCAGAAATCTGGCTTTCTCCTGCCCTTCTCCATCACTGTTACTGTTGGGAAAGAAGCTTGTTGTCAGCCCCCAGACTCATTTGCTCCCACTTCAGCTATCAGAGACAGCAAATCAGTGAGTTTCTCTCTTGTGATCATCAGAAACTTACCATTTTGTAACCTCCTCCAGCTTCTCTGTGAGCATTGTTAAAATGGATATATCCTTCCTCAAATGCTTCAGGATTAAAAAGCATGGATTTCTTGCCCCCTAAATACTCATGATTTTGTTGCTGATGTCAGTATGTAAGCCCAGGAAACAAATCTTTTGTTCCATGATAGTTAATTGTTTTGAGGCTTGACCAAATAGCCACCTGTTAACTTAATCCCAAACATGGTAGCCTGACCTCAGTCAGCTTTTGACAGCTAAGTAATATGGTCTAGTATCACTGGAATTCCCTGAATTCAGAGCTAGAGTTAATGACAGAAATAAGGCTGGATTTGCTTTTCCGTTTCAAGTATTGAAGAGCCACCTAAAGGTTACTATGGCTATTTTGCTACTCTGTGTGCCTTCAGTCATCAGACTTATTCCATTGGATGTGAGTACCTGGTGGAGAAAAGGTATGGAGAGTTATGATCAACTGCATATGTAATAGAAAATTGAGTCTAATTTATTGGGTTGAAGATACCAATTGAACACACTGCATGGCCCTCCATTGCAATATACTGACATTTGAAAATAATGAAACCTTCTTATTCTTGCTGTATAACCGTATTTTATTTGTCCAGGGGAAAAGTGCTTCTGGCAGTGCTGTCTTAAGGGGATCAAGAATGGAAAGCATGCTGCAGTCTCTTTATTTGGACAACAGAGCAGGCTACTACTTCACACAGTTCTGTGAGAAGTCAGGGAATAAGGTATGATCATTTTCCTACCCTGTGATAATTTAGTCGACAATTGACTGAATGCCAAGTTATAGAGGGCAGCCAGACTGAAAAAAAAAAATGGAGAAAGAAAGATTGATGACTGGATGAATTATTACTTATGAGACTTCAATCCCTCAACAACAATAAACTGTTCATGTGTATATTCAAACTAATGACAGGTCTTAACCAAGCTGTCAGATCCTAACTGTCTCAGACCAACTGGAAATCTGATTGTACCATCAGGGATAAAAAAAGACTAATTGTTCTTAAAAACTAGCCTTTAACTTGGCAGAAAAAATGAGGTCTTAACCCACAAAAACATTTTTTAAAAAGATGGAAAATCTGCTCTGCTATTACTCATGATAATATACCTCCTTCTTACTTGTTGTGTTAGTGATGTCCAAAATCTCCAATGTTTTAAAAACGTTCTTCTGCTTCCATGAAGCTTCTTGGATTTCTGGGAAACATAACACTATTTCTTTGCTGTAGTCAGCAGATCCATCATTCATTGCTGGGTGTAAATTGAGGATTGGTTGGAACAAGTTATGAATCTGAGTCAGTGTTCAGTGGCTTTGCAGAAAAATTGAGTCTTTAGGGGAAACTTGAGTGCAATCAAGATGGACATCTGTTTCACTGTTGGCACAACCCAGAATCCAGCAGCAGTAGCTAAAAATGCCTTTGGCTACCAGAAGGCAAGAGCCAATATTTCTAAAGCTGAATACCTTCATCTAAAACTGTTAGATGTGTATAGATAGAAATCTACATAAAAGTAACTTATTTTTTCATCAGAGATAAGCACCTACCCACATGGCCTCTAGTCTTTGCAGGTGCCAGACTCCTTTGAAAATTATTTCCTTAAGTTTCAACTACAACTGTGGAGCCTATTTCAATCATATGCCAGGTCTGGCAGCCTACAGTTTGTGGAACAAAGTTTCCTGCCTTTATCTTTTTGAGACACTATCTTTATTGTTCAGTGGTAGGGTTTTCAGGGTATTTTTAAGATCCAAACCCCATAAGCACATGGTTAAAAGAGAGGACCTGGGGAAAGACTCCTCCTTCTGAAATAACTTTTGATGTTTGTTTGGATTTATGAAATGAGGCCAAGACACTGTGCCTCAGAAATGCATGTAATAAAAATGTAATGACTGTTCCAGTAACATACATCAAGTACACAATATTTAATTGTTTTGGTTACTGCTGCAAAATGCTATTTCACCAGGGTACAAATCTTGCATGTCCATTATCAGCATTTCTTCTTTAGTGCTGGCTTTATGCCACTGAAATGTGGTTACTCTTCAAATGTTAACTACAATGTTAACAATTTTAATGGCCAATTATGCATAAAGGATTCAATAAAAGATATAATATCACAGTGATGATGCCATTAAATATGTTGTCCTTCTGCCAATATGCCTCAGAAGATTAAATCCATCTTAGATTGAGCTTGATTTATGGTGACCCCAAGGAGATAAATAACTTCTTGCATTGGAAAGTGAACCTTTTATAAAGCTGTGATATTTGGGTAGCAATAACTTACAATATTTTTCATCTGTAGTTGTGGAAGAACAGCGCGTATTTTTGGTTTGACCTACAAGCTTATCATCAGCTTTTCTACCAAGAAACTCTTCATCCTTTCAAAATCTGCAAGCAAGCTCAAGTAAGTTGTAAATAATGTGTTTTCCCTTCAAAAATACACTTGTTCATTCCCTTCGAAAATACATTTGCTTAGTGTAAAGACTGAAAAGAAGATAGAAAGCAGAAAAGTTTCCAAACCTTGACAACCCACACCAAAGTAAATCTGGATTGTGGACAATAAGAGAAGCTCTTGGGATTGGTTCCATAGTATTTCTTGATTTAAATGTTAAACATGCATAGTTTGATTTCTAGGCTCTGCTGCCTGTTCCAGTTTTATCTATTACACTCAGCTTACCTAATCTCCCCTTTGCTACTCTGTGTCATATTTGAAATTATCTGCTTTGTGTTAAGATCAGAGATAATATTTTTCTAAATCATCTAATTGTGCTTTACCTTTGCTTTGACCTGTGTGAGTTAGAATTGCAGGGCTCAGAGTCCAGACCTTAGATAATGACCTTAGTCTTGAAAATGGATCTTTCACTGGTCAGTTCTGCTTTTTCTGATTGTCAGGGCATCAATATGCTCTTTTTGCAGTTGTCATCCTTTCCATTTGATCTTTAGACCCTCACTTAACTGTTGAGAGGAACTGGTATTTCCTATAAACAAGCACCCTTAATTACGCATGCACTGTGAGTCAGGGAATAAACATGGCTCATCACAGGCCATGCGTGCTGATGCTGTCAATAACTGCAGAATACTCTGAGACTGCCAGGGAAGGAGGCTGCAGCAGTGTGATATCATTAGAACTCTCAACTTTTAAAATTACTTTGTGAAACTTTGGTCTGTTTTCCTTCTGCAAACCTTGTGTAGGAGTATATCGTATCTGCGTATTTCAATATATGCTGTAATAAGCAAAGCTACTTCACATGTCTTTCATGTCTTTGAAATTAATATCATAGAGAGCAGTGGCTTGCTCTCTTTGTATGGTTTATGTTACTGAGTGTCTGGACTTCCTTCTATTTGTCTTCTTTTCCTATTTGGAGATTTTACTGGGGCAAATGACAGACTTTTGTGTATTTGTCCAGAATTACCACTTGAGTGTTATTTGTACAGAAACACCAAGCAGAGGCCGAGGCTCCCTTCTGCCACACACTGGCTAACTTAAACTGCTACTCTATTTAATTGTTTTTCCCTCCAGCTCTACTTATGACCTGAGGCTGACTGTCTCCCCTGTCAGCCCAGCCCAGTGGCTAGGGACACTGCTCACAGCAGGTGTACAAGTTAACCATACCTAGATTGTCTTCATTTTCCTATATGTTTTGTTGTAGGCCAAATCTTAGCTAATGGTCCATGGTAGTTTTCAACTTGGTTTCATTTCACACCAGCTCATATTCTTTCTGCAGTGGTTGCATGGCCCAGGTCCTTTTTACTTATTTCCAGCGCTGGCCTGGTGGTGACAGCAGAACATCATACAATCAGTGTTACCAGGCAATTACAGAGAGCTCCATACACATGGCCATTAAAGTAAATACATCAAAACGAAATATATGAAACTGTTCCATTAGCATAACTAACAGCTGAAATGTAACATAGCAAATCAACACATGTGCTGTAACATTTGGTATCATTCTGTAGCTTGCCTTTTAAGGCTGCACAAATATAATTCTTGTTTTCACTGGAACACTGTAAAGAGTCAAGCTGCAACCAATCTACAGGGTCTGCTTATCGAAGAGATGCCTTCCCAAATTCTGTGCTCACCTTTGGCACAATAAGATAGTCATTCCAAATATTCCTAAGAGAATGTGGGTCAGATTCGCGCAACCCATCGTCATGTATATTTTACTATTTATTACAGAAAGACACATCCAAAGTATTCTGTATGTGTTCTGCCTGCTTCCTATTAGAAACAAGAGCAAACCCGGATTGCTGTGTATCTGTTAGTCATTGTTTCATTTGTTAGGCATTTTTATGATAGAGTAAGAAAGTGCGTTCCAAGGTATATATTCATTCACCCAGGAACAGAAACTACAGTGAGAATGAAATCTGATGGATAAAAATAACGATGAGTACTGGTAATCATCCAGGAACATATATGGTTATTCACTATAAACATACACACGAGTGTAAAATAAATTGAGAAAGAAAAGCAATAAAGAAAAAGATACTGTAGTTTTGGATAAAAAATAGTTATTTATAGTTAGAAGATTTAATGCAGTTATAGCAAGCACAATATTTTAACACTAGAATCAATTTAGACAAAGGGAATTATCATCACTGTTAACTTTTAGGGTCAGACATAAGATTTATGTTAGTGGAATGTGATGACAGGGTTAAGGCAGTTTAACCTTTCCATTTTAGACCAGCCAGTGCATTGTATTCTTCCATCATATGATTCTGTTGAGCAGCTGCACAAGCCCATCGTTTAGATCAGATCAATATTCATGCCTTCGGCTGCAATACAAGGCACTTGGAGTTCAATATTTTCCATGTTTCTTGCTTCACTCTAGTCATTCTGCAATTGCTTACCAAAGACTTCTCATGTGGGGCTGAATTCACACCAAAACCCAAGGCCTAAACAAGTCCTGATTTGGAAAGTCATAAATGAGGCTAAAGACTTAATCTGAATTTCTTAAGTGTTCTGTATCTTCAGATTTGTGCCATTATAAGCTCTGATCAAATTTCCAGATAGGTTTTTGGGTTTAATCCATCACTTATCCTAATGCAATTATAGGAAAATGTATAGCTGGCAGGTAGGGAAATTCTTTATGTGTTACAAAAGGAGCAAAATACTGAATAAATAAAGTACAATGTGCACTTCACATCACATGCGTAAGATTTTTGTATGAATTTGATAACCTTTAAGTTCATTTAATGTCATTTTTTCCTATTAATGCTTTAGGAGATTAGCCAGTAAAACAGTTTCACTAATTCATTGAGATTCAGAAACCCACAAGACTTCCATGACATGGGAGTCAAAAAAGGCTATGAATATTCTTTTTTAAAGGATAAAATGTATTTTCCCACTATATCTTGCTAAGTTCATTTCCCAGTGTTGAAGTCTGTGAACACAGCCACGTTTCCTCTATTTTGGCATGTCTAGAACTTGTATCTTGTAACTGCTTTATCTGCAGTCCTTGCATGCAAATCTATATCTACAAATGCACCTGAACCCTCAGCAAGGGACACAGGGATGGATGCTCCTTCTCTTTTCTCCCGTCTGCATTCACTTTGTCACCTTGTGAAGTTATCTTTCTACTTGGTGGGCCAAATCCCATAACAATGGGTTCTTACCAGAATTCAAGAAAAAGATGGCATTATGCCAAATCCTCAGACACTGTAAATCTGCATCCTTCAAAAGTGAAGAGGCCATCCTGATTATAGCACTGAGGGTCTGGTCCTTTATGTTAGGAAAAGTGGACTCCTGTAGCTAGCCTAACCACCTCTAAATTTCTGCTTCACGTGTATTAGCCCTAACTATTCACATGTAATAGCCCTAACTATTGTTTCTGGGAAAAAAAGTCTGTATTTACCATGCTCCAGTTTTGCATGTGAAATGATACAGAACTGGGGATTGGGGGGGGTGGAGGGGTGGGGCTGTGGGGGCCATAGGGCAGAAGGAGTTCTGCAGGTAGAGCAGCCTGCAAAAGCAGACCTTAAAATGGCAATATATTGTGACAGTGTTTATGTGAACAGATTGTCAACAGTTTTTGACTAGAGCTTCCTTAGTCTGGGCAATTTCTGACTCTGTAGGCTGAAAGTTTTTGTCAGCTCTAAAGAAAAGTAGCAAATATACTCAAGTTAACTCATTTCATACAAAATCACAAGGGGAAAAAAGAGTTTCATCCAAGAAACTTGTGCAATGTTTGTTTTGGTTTTATTCTTAAAACTATGCTAAAAATGATCAGCCACTTAAGGAACCTGGTTAAAATATTAAGGACGTGTTTTGGACCCTTTTCACTAATTTATAGATCTCTTGTGTGATTATATGACTCATAATAGGTGGAGCAATGTAGCCCTAATGACGAACAAAATGGTTAACCCCTCTATTTTTGAAGATACTATGTCTTGGTATCATTGGACTAGTCCCTTCTAATTTGGCTATTTTATATGTTAAATGTTTTGGATCAGAGTAGAACATGATGTAAATGAAACTTTTCTAGTGTTAGGGTTTTTCAACATAACTTCCAACTTTCTGATATCACTAATTGTATCTAATTAATGCTGTCTCTGTTAAATTTAAATTTATTTGGGGATTTGCTGAGGAGGGCATAATTTAGGATAAATGTGATTATTCTCAACTTGCTATGACTCTTCTTGTGGATGTCCTAATTCTTTGACCTTACCCTTACACCTGGGGTCTTTATTGCACTGATAACATGGATAGCCACAAACCATCTTTGTTTTCAGTGATCAGATCTATGTAGAAAGGGGGTGGAATGCTGCATAAAGAGTAAATATAGTAATCATAACAACATCTAATTGGGGAATGGATGTCAGCCATCATAGCCCTGTATTCCTCAGTGACCTGGTATCAGGAGAGTCTAAAGGGTGTGTTTCAAAAGGTCCAGAACAATAGGAATGTAGTCTGGTGGTTTTAAATAAAGAGTCTAATAGAACAGAATTTCATTTAAAACAAACAGAAACATGATTATTCAATGTAATCAAACATTCTCTTACTATGCTTGAGATTTAAACACAACAGTTTTATTACTGCTGAACATAGAGTAAATATATTATTTTCTTCTTCTATACCACTTTGTACATCTGCTAGTTACAGCTAGATTTCAGCAACATAAGGAAAATGCAAATTATCAGAAACCTGCATTCTTTACTGTCAAAACTGTGTGATAATAAACAGTGAAGGTGGGCTCCTCAAGGCCATCCTAGAGAGAAATTTGATTATGCTACTAATCTGATTCCTTGAACATATGTTTGAATATTAGTTAGACTTTGAAAATATGAAGAAGAGAAAACATGTATAAGTACATGACATCTACTATGGCAGATTCTTTTCTCACTCGCTTTCCTAGCTGCAGTAAGAATCATGCTGTATTAGAAAGATATTCTAGAATATCTTCTTCCAAGATATTCCTGGCAGAAAGTGCTTTTTCACTGAGTTTTCAATGTTCTTTTTCATGGCAATTTCTGAAACATTTAAAAACCAAGAATTTGACTTAGGGGACTATTTGGACGAAAAAAAAAAAGAAATAAAAAAAATTACCCTATGCTTCAAGAATGAACTGATAGAGAGAAAGAAACACTCTCCAGGTTCAGCTTTCTTCTGTCTGTACATGGCAAACTCTGTGTGCTCCACAAAAAAGCATACTGTAATCTCTGCTTTGCTAAGTATTTAGAACTCAGTTGTGCAGTGCTATCTCCTGTTATGGATCCTATCCCATGATAGTGTCACTCATATCAAAGAACTGTGCATGAGAATCTCCACACAGAATTACAGAATTAAATCACTTTTTCACTAATTTTAACCTTAGATTTACAAATTCCCATCTATTCAGAAGAAGACACCTTCACAAGTTGGCCTAGCACATATTCTGCAAAACAGCAACGCAACTTCATGAAGAATGCAGTTGCTGTAATGGTTGTGGTTCCTGAATCTAACAAGGATCAGTCAATATTTCCAAATAAAAATTACATTAAGGGTTAATTTGTGATCTAACTTTACTTAAAAAAGTAGAAATGGCAGGGAAGTCAGTTATGGCAATAACTGAATTTCAGGCAAAATTGTAATATTGGTGAAAACAAGGCAGGTTTCTGATAGGTTAGTATCTATCTAAATAGAGGTTAGTATAGGTTAGATAGGTTAGTATCTTAACTAGATATATGTTTAGAATATACAGCAAGGCAGTATGGGACAAATATACATTAATTCTCTCCTCTAATGGACTGTGACCATTGGAACAGATGATGGCTTAGAATAAGTTTTCTTCTGTTTTATTGTAGTTCCTTTATGCAACTTACATTGCCCCATCTGCCAGTATGGACATTGGACTTCATCAGAGGAAGAGAAACATGATTTATCAGAAAATTGACCCAGCTTTTGAAGATCTTTTTGACCCAGCAGAAGAATATATCCTCACTGTTCTGATAGAACCGTGGATGAAGATGATGGAAGAAGACAAATGTACTTACGGAAAGGTAACTCATCTGGATGATACAGCAAAAAATTCTTACGATGGTGGAAGAAAACTACAAGAGCCTTCATATGCAACCCTGTTACATTTCTAGTCAGAAAGGGAGAAGTATTATGTGGTGTTTTGCTCACCCACTCCTTTCTACACTGATGAGTGGAGCAGGCTGGGCTTTTTGCAGAGAGCAAATTTCTCATCAGAGAGGAAGGTGCAAGCCTTGTGGACCCCTTGGTCTGTGAATTAGGGAGGAATGTACCTTACTATGGCAAAATTTCTCTTTGTACTCAGGAAGTGTCATGTTTCTGCAATCTTACCATTGATCAAATAAAAATAAGCTGTGTTTCTAGAGCATTAGTACCATGATGTTAGGCCCATATTAATTCTATCATCTATTTCCTGGTGTTCAGAATTAAAGTGCAGCTACTGCTTAGCATAAGAGGAAATGTGATATGGTGATCCAGCTGTATTTGCCCTGAACACTTTTTAGATAGCTGCCCTGCTGTGTAAGGTCTAACTGTGCCCTGCAGGCTTCCTGAAGCAGGTGGCTCAGTGGTCTACTCAGTTCTAATTCCAGAAAGCCTCTGAAGGCTTGAATTTTAAGCAGGCTTATGCAGGTCAGAGGAAATGGCTGCAATCCTGACTGTGCTTTTGACAAATCAGAAATGGTGGAGCAGCGGTGGATGCTGTGGCTCTCTGCAGTTTATACTTTCTTACAAGTTACCAGCTGCAGGTCAAACTTCTAATTCCAAGTCTTTAAGATCTCTCTCTTTTAGGTACAGAAGGAGAAACTTACAATAAGAAATCAGGAGGTGGAGGGTGGAAGTTAGTTCTTGTTCCTATTTTTCTCCACTGTGACCTTAGCATCTCCATTTTTACAGTAAATATTGTTACTTACAGCTGATACTTCTGTCAGCATGTAACGAGAATGTGCATGCATGCATTGACCCCACAAAAGATTCTGAATTCCTTTTGTGGCAGTTTTGTAGTACAGTGTATTTTTCTTACTATGTTGTGCATGCATGTATGAATAACCAGGAGAACAGATACCCAAAATAAAACTTGACAATGACCTTTTAAGCCTATTAAATTGTGGCCAATATTAAACATTTAAGAATACAGTATAAGAACAGGAAAAAAAAAGACAGTATTGCCAGCTTCAGCACTCTGCAACTGAGGAGATGAACGAAGCAGTGGTCTTATCCACATTTTTGTGTCATAATAGTCTTTGATGAGTAGGTTGGTTTTTTCCCCCCAGGGATTTATGTAAATGTGTCTTGAGTCATTTTCTATCTTCAGCCTCAGTGCAGTAACGGGTTCTGTGTTTTAACCATACAATAGGAGAAAAAAATGTGTATCTTGGTTTTCTTGCAAACCTCTCCCTGATAATTTCACATGGTGCCCTAGTTTTGTATTTTATGAGGAACAGTGTACAATTGTTATCTTGTATTCTTAATGTTGTTATACTTTTACATGTTTTTGTTTTATCCCACTTCGGTTACATCTCTTTGAAACTCAGGAACCCTAGACTATTCGTCCTCTCCTCTCACAGAAGGCATGCCATACCTTTATTACACTAATCACCCCCATCTGTTAATTCATATATTTGTGATGAGATGTAAGCAGTACTCAAGATCTGAATGCACTAAGGATTATTCAGTGGCAGACTCATGTTTTCTGTTTTGATCTTTGTTCCTTTCCTAATTGTTCCTTGATTCTAACTGCCTTTTGACTCCTGGTGAACTTTGAGTGGATGTGCAATACGTAAGCTAACAGCCATTTGCAATGATTCCAACATCTCTTAACAGAGTAAGAACAACTAATCGAAAGCCCAATTTGGAGCTTATTAGAATGACTTAATTTTTGTTGTCCTTTAATTCAGCTGCCCTTTTATCATGCAGATACTGAAGTGTCCTGAAATCCTGCAACTCTTCAAAGTCAATATACTTTTTTTTGCCCTGTGGAATCATTTTGCAAACTTTGCTGTATCCTCACTCACTTCCTTTTCCAGATAATTTCTGAATGTTTAAAGAAAACGACCTCAGAGCAGATCCCTGTGAGACTCTAATGGGAACCCCACCCCGTAATAAAATTTATTTATTTATGTATTTTGCACTTTTTACCTTATAATTAATCCACACAGGGGCTTTCCCTCTCATCCTGTGATAACTTAATCTCCTTCAGAAATGTTGAAAATTTGAACTTTGAAAAAAACCTTATCAAAATGAAATATACTAGTCCAAACACATCTGCAAAATATTCTCTTCACTTTTCAGCATCTTTTCTCAGCTTTCAGGTAAATTATTTTTTTCTAAGCTATTTCAGCTATAATTGTTCATGAACTGCAGAAAACCATGTAATTGGTCTATGATTGTATTAATATGAAGTTTTTGGTCAGACATTAATATGAAGTTTTTCTATCAGACTAGTTTTAGTGTTTTGTAAATCTATATTTTCCATGTGTATTATCAAAACTAGTAGTCTAGTAGTTGATGCCAGTCCTCACTGAGTCGGGTCATGGACTCAGCCAAGTATTATACATCATTTTTATACAAAAAGGACTCTGCTTTTGAGCACTCTCCAAATACAGTGCTTTCACTGCTTCTAGTGATTGAAGAATTCCTCCAAAGTAAGAATTGAAAACATAAACTTTTGCTTTAAATTAATGTGTTTGTCAGTTTATACCTCCTTGAGTTAACTGAGGGATAGTCTATTGCCCTTTCAGTTTAGATGATGCTTTGCTTTGCACGTGTAGTTAGGTGCAGACTTCTCAGTGCCCTAATAACACAAACATCTTAATCAGAGCATGAAAAAACAAAACACTTTTGAGCACACAATACATGTGTTTGTGAAGAGTTATAATACATAGATATAACATGACCTGTTCTAGGAGGCACTAGAGTCTCTTTGTACAAAGCACAGACTGATGCTTAGGCACACACTCCTTCTCAGCACAAAGACAAGGTCTGCTTTACATTTTGTTCAGTCCCTGGCTCTACTCTTCCCTTTTGTTCTACCATACAGCAGGATGTATTTGGCCCATTATGAAACAAGATACTTTAACAAGAATTAGGTGAGTCCAAAATTGTTTCTCTGGGACATAATCAGCATGTATCTACATTTTTATCTTTAAATGAACATGAAAGCAGGAGATTCCCTTTTTATTGTTGACTCTCATCCTGCCTCTATCTGCTTTCTGTTTAAATTATATAAAAAATGTTTTGGATTATTTTCCTATTTACTTTTAAACTATGTTTTCTTTTAAAGGAAAGAATATCCAAAAGCACTTTATAACAGTGGAATAGAATTATTTCAAGCCTGAAGGCATTCAGATAGCACAGTGATTAGTGGGTGTTCACATGTAGACAAAAGCATAATGAATATTAATTTAAAATCGGCCTTCTCTCTCTTGAGCATAAATGCATGTATAATAAGACCATAGCTTTCTAATCTTTGTAGTGGGTGTGCTGATCTGTATAACACATTGGCTTAATTTTGCTAAATATCCTAAAAACTGCATTTGAATGGTTTAGTCAGCTGAGAGGCTCATCAAACTATTCCTTATGCAGTTACTGATTGTTTTCATGTAACATCGAGAACTGCTCTAGTTATATACATGAAGCTTCTAATTAAATTAAAGCACACCAATACTTCATGAGTTCTAACCATGGGCAACTTATTATTTTAAAGCATTACCTGGTATAAAACTAAGAAGGTGCCAAGAAAGTCTGAAAGCTTTCACCTTTGTTATTTAGATATTTTAGCATTCTTATTTTAAATTTCCGTTTCTGGAAGTCTGTGCCACTCTTACCTTTTTGACATTTCCCACTGAGAGTCACAGTTTTAAAAACTTTTTCTGATTCTCAGTGACAGTCTGATACATAATTTGCTGGTATAAGCAATCAGGTGCATTTTATACAATATACACAGCAGAGTATATACACAATATACACAATAGATTGTATGCACAATATAATTTAGCAATTTTTTTTTATACAAAGCTATTTTTTAAAAGATAGTTTTTTCGTGGTGTTCTGTGGAAATCCATGTTATCTTACACAGATATGAAGATTTTGTTCTACTAGATCTTTTAATTGAATTGTTTCTCATAAAGATGTAATGTCTAGTATCTTCTAAACATCAACCTCATTACTGCCAAATGCATCCTTTTCTATCCCCTGTCACTGGCAAGGTGCCTGTTCAGTTCTCTCCATCTTTCTATAACGTGTACTGTAGGGATGACATAAGATATTATTTTTATTAGGTGGAGCTGGTGGAGGAAACTCGACAGCTGGACTCCGTGTACTTTAGAAAGCTCCAGGCTCTGCATCAAGAGAGGGGTTCCAAGAAGCATGAGGTAAGACAAGTACCTACTAACAAAAACAAACTCATTTTTCTATCAGAAAGGGTTGAGTATCAGCAACGAAAGACTGACTACATGCCAGTTTGGAGAAGCTAGTAGTCTGACTTCTACCATTAATTCTGGGGAATGATTGACAGCTATTGTGTTAATTACAAAAATAGGTCTTCTGCCAGTAACATCAGCATCAGACCACTGTATGATTGGAGGCAGTAACAGAGTTTCCACTAAAGTCTGTGGAATGTATTTTGGGCCCTTAATCTTGAGTAAATACCTACATTTCAAGTAAATTACCAGTATATATTTGTTTATTTGATTATGGAACCTGGTATGTTTAAAGCAAACATAAAACTAAAGCTGATTAAGAGCTGGAGCTTTAATTTATTTTCTCAGAAATCAAAAGCTGCTCTACAGAGACAGAAGTTATCTAATGCAAGGATTATCAGACTGAGCAAAACATAGAGATGAAAAAAAGCAGTTATGCAAGTGAAAGAATTTCTTCCCTCAGAGTACTGTTGCTGACACTGGTCTGCCACCTTGCCCTGATGCTCTCAAAGAAGACAAGCACTTGAGTCAAGTTCCCAAAGAATTGACAGGTCCTAATCTATCTGACCTCATCCATGACAAAGAGAAGTTAGAACACTTCTGGGCTTTTCTTAACGAGCGTTCTGCTAGGTATGTTTTTTTGTTATTATTATTTTTCCCATTTCTAAGTTCAGAAGAAATTTTTGCTGGGGATCTTGGCTATCTAAATGTTCACAGATTTTAGCCTTTTTAAAAAAATGTGTTTGTATATTTATGAAATACACATGCACATTGTACATACAACTGAATTGCCTTAACATTTTGGGGTAAAAATTCTCCCTACATAACATGCTTGTATTACAGTTCTGCTTTCAGTTTCTGCTTTCATTAGTGGCAAAGCCCTGAGGAGAACAATTAGCCTACAGTGAATAAAAATTTCTCTTTTTTAGTACAGACCCAATTTAGTACATTTTAAAAATTAAAGCTGGGTATTATAACAATGTACAAATAGAAGACAGACACGTTATTCTTACAGTGTGAGAACAACTGCAGTTTTGTGTTTGCACTGATCTAAACAGAATTAAGGACCAGCTTGCAGCAGATACAGTTTATGCAGGGTTTTTGAAAAAGTGAGCCCATTTGTTTGAAAGTGAGCATCTAAACAGAAGTTCTAGTACTGGCAGAAGTAAATGTGACTTTGCCCCCCCCCCCCCCCAGTCTCTATCCTGTTTTAGGAAAAGGCAAATATACTTTTTAAGTAACTGCTAGCAAGTTCTGAAACTGTCACTTCCTTCCTTTAACCTGGGTTCCCATAATCTGATGCTTTAAGTACTGCGTCTTGTTTCTAGTCAAGCACTGCTATCATTTTAGACCAGATACTGGTCAGCTCTTCTGCAAGTGTCCAGAGATAGACATCTAGGACAACTCCTCTGGCCAAAATTCAGTGTCATCACTTCTGCAGGTCCCTATGTTCAAGTGAATTCTGAATTAGTTATCTAGACCAGTGGTCTCCAAACGTTTTTGATTGTGCACCCTATCAGTAAAAAATTTTTGAGCATGCACCCTCGATATATGTATATTTATTTTTTATAAATTATATACATGTCCTACTGAAGTTCTATTATTTTCTTACTGTTCCCCAATGAACCATCTCTTTGCACACCCTGCTTTGGAGACCACTGGTCTAGAGTTTGCCTCTAACTGGGTAAATGGCAGAAATCACCAGATAACAGGTCACTGGCTAAGATCAGGTCTTGGGACAGGTACACTGAGTTACCCTCGGGACTTCCTGCCTCCCTGTTAATCACAGACAAGTCCCATTTTACATGATAGACCCAAGCAGAGAAATATTTAATTTATGGAGAAATTTTATTTTGTAAAAATTTATAATGAATTAAAAATTTGAAAAAAGTCTCACAAAACAGTGTTTCAGAGCTGAGTCCAGACCTAGTAACTCTGAAGTCCAACCGGCATGCTACAGTTAAGATACTTAATGGTACTATAAGCTTGAAGTGATCCTAGAATTAATGCAGTCTAGAAAATTTCAGCAAAACCCAACAAATATGTCATTTGCTTCTTAATCAAAATGTGTAATTTTGTTATTGCCTAATTACAAGTGATCCAGGTTTCAGGAAGGACAGGCTGATTACCTCAGCACAAATTCTTGTTTGAAAAGAGTTCCATCAATAAATATTTTGTTAAATATATAGGACATATTCACACAATTGCAAAACAGTTACTTTACCCATTACTTTGGGTTAGTGATTTACCACCACTTGCCAGACTGCCTATTCACATGCTCCTGATCTGTTGAAAGGAAAAAGTAGAGTATGGTAAGACAAGCCACCACTGTAAACAGTTTAACCTAACATACTTTCCAATTAGATATTTTGCTTTTTAAATAAAATGGACATATTTGATTGTTTGTCATTGGCAGATGCCAAGGAGTAGCTCCATAAACCACAGTGACTTGGATCACTTGCATTTGGGTGAACTTACGTTGTGATGAACTAGCAAATGAAAGAATTTCAGTCTCAACAGAACTTAGGTCTCAAACTACTTTTGAAAGTGGACATCTGTTCTTAAATCAGTTAGATGCTTTTGAAAATTTTATTTCTAGATTAATGCTTTGAAAAAAACAGTTATTAACTGAATGGAAAAGTGAAACAGATTTGTCTTAATTTAATGTTTCATATTTTCTTCTGCAAATATAGTGAATATCCTCATTAAAGTGCTCACAAAACTTCAGATAATAAGATACTATCAGAAAACAGCCTATAAATAAAGCTGAAACTGTAGGTATGTCACTTATTCTGTCCTCTGGTTTAAGGAACAAAACCAATATATGTTCCATTAAAACAAACTTAAATTAATAGTGTACACATAATCAAATATGAACAAAATTTAAGAACTGCATATGGTGATTAATTATCATTTACTATGAATATTGAAATAAGTAGTAGAACCAGTGATTTATGGAGAGGCAGCCTACACAAAGCCATAGAAACAAAAGCTACCATAAATTGTTTTTGTCTGATTGACTGCAAACTGACTTAAGCTCTAGCACTTCACACAGGGTAGGAACAGCGTGATTTCTGGGGCTGATGTTTCCAGATGTCATCCCTCCTCCTTTCTCAGGCAATATTACAAGGAGGCAGAACAGGAAGTGTCAACTCATCTCTTGGTGGCTCACAGCCTCAGTACTGCTTCAAATTCTCATCTGTTTCATTTTTCATTCTCTCTGTGAGCTCTGCACTATGACTCTGGTTCACAGTCCCTGCTGGAATTAACAGCAACACACTGCGGAGGTTACTTCTTTCAGGGTACCTCACAAGGGACTTTAAAAGAGATCCCAAAGATGTGTTTGATCTGCTTGTTCAACAAGTGGCATGGTCTCACCAGATGGTACTAGCAAATTAAAAATGACATAAAATTTCAGTCCAATCTGACCTGGTATTTAGGACTTGAACATTCTGGTGGCTTGTGATTAAAGTAATAACTCTCCAGAATGTTGATGAAATTAACTCAATATTGAAAAGACATTCTGTTTAAATTTGTTTGTAGCATGGATCTCATGTGCTGGCTAGATATTGAACAGTTCAGAGAGACGCTCCACAAGGATAAAGAAAATAGGGAGGAAAAATCTAAAGACATTAAAAACAAGTACTTCAACAAACAATACTTCTTTGGACCCAACAGCCCAGCTACCAGAGAACAACAAGAACAGGTACCAGTTACAAAACTGTTCATAGAAAAAAAATCACACTGAATATGACTGAGATAAAAGTCCATAAGCAGCTTTGCTCCAGGTTTTCCCCTGGCTATCTCCTAAAATTTTACCTGTATTTTTTGGCCAGAAATCTGGTTCTGGTTGTGGCAGTCTCTTCCTTCTTGTTCAGGCTCTTCCTCCCACTCTCCTTACAGAACATCTCTCTTAAACCCTGATCTGAGGCTGCAGCCAGCGCATGCACAAAAAAGCTCAGAAAAAGTGTAAAAATGGCTGTCAGGTAGAGTGACTTGTTCCAGGTTCCTATCTTAGTACATCAGTAAAGCTACAGACAGCAAGTCTGAGCTGTGGTACTCTGATATGTCTTGATACTTCAGAAATTTACTTGGTCAAGCTGGGGTAGTATTTGCTGGAGTCTGTATTCTATTATAGGTAGGGACAAATGTAATCTGTTCCCTTTTATGAAAAGTACATGTGAGCCTTGGGTAAGCATGCATTAAATGCTTTGCTTACAGTTTAAGCTCATGCTTTGCTAAATCAAGGATGTAGAAAGATGAAGGATTTTTGGTATACACAGAAGTTTATGTCATGTGTTATTGTATTTGGATTGCTCAGATAATTCATTCAGGTGGAGGATGGGGACAAATCCTTCAGGATCAATTTTCGGCAACAGTTCTGCTAGAAATTCAGCAATGTGTCCAGAAGAGATTAGAAGAACAATGGCTGCCATTGTTCCTGGCAGATGAACACCATCGGGTGGAGGGACAAGCAAAGGTAATTTTTTAAGAACAGCAACACATCCAGACTTTGCGTGTTGTTTGGCTCATAATTCACTGTTGGGATAAAATGCTTCAGATGAAAAGCAGCTCACAACTCACATTCAGTTAATGTTTAAAGAGACACTGTTGCATGTACAGGTTGAAGTATTTAGCCTGGTAACTGTGAAGGTAGTTCCTCTGAACGCTTAGTCTAGCTGACAGTATTATTGTTCTATCCTAAATGTGAAGAACCTGGTGTTGGTTTTGCTGCCAGCCAGGCTGCCAGAAGAGTAATCTAATCTTTGCCATAGTGCTTTACTGTCTATATGACATTTTGCCCTAGCCATACCCTTACATACAGAAGAAACGCTGCTTTGTATAAAAAATTTGCCCAAGGGGACAAGAACACAAGCAAATGAGTGGGCTTTCCCTGCTGTATTCTCTCTCTTCCTCTCTCTTTTATGCTGCCTGTATTCTCCCATCTGGAGCTGTGGTGTAGAAATTACTCCAGGGCTTGTGAAATCTGCTGAGTGGGGATGTTAACTGCTACAAGCCTTGTTTCAATTGGTTACTTCAGAAAGTTGCCAGAAAACTGGGAATGAGGAGCCTTTCACTCCTGCTGGCTCATTAGAAGGACTGGGGAATGGGCAGAGCTAACATCTGCCTTTTATGAGTGTGCCTATGTGGCTGGGATCTATGTAGGGAGATCGTCCTGATGGTGACAGATGCAAAATGACTTGGCTTTTTGCGCTTCCACAATTGCTTCTGAAATGCAAATGTCACATCAGAAGGAAACTTGACAGTTCCACCAAGCAGACAAATACGCACACTATGGTGATTCATAAAACTTGTTTTCTATCCTCTTTTTAATATCAAAAAGGTTATCAGAAGTGTTGTTGGAAGTGCATATGAACTGTAATTCTTTTCATTGATTCAGAGCACTAAGCAATCTGAGAAGTATAGGTTCTGATAAGACAAACAGTGATTTTAGTAAAGAATATGCTAATTAGAGCAAAATTTCCTAACCCTCTGCCCTTTTCAGCTGACCTCTGCCTCCTTTCCAAGCCCTGGCACAAGACCATGCACTAAGGCTAAGCTGCTTCCAGGTCTGGAAGCTAGCTCATGCATCTTCTTGCACCTGCTGCACTGTGCTGGCAGGGAGAATAGCCCACACAGTTTGGAAGATGCTGTATTCAACAGTTTATAGGAAATACATACTTCTAATGAGCTTTCAGTCTTTCTACTCCATTGATGTCTGAATTCTCTTTTCTCTTTCTTATTGCAAATTCAGAGGATGAAAAGGTCCTTTGAAGAAAGTATTTCAGAAGAAATGAAACCAGATGACATTCTCAAATTGGCTTCATATTTCACAGTGACCAAGTACAGTGGCCATGCTCGGTAGTCCTTACTCAGAAAATCTGCCCTTGATTTGAGGTGTATTTTTCCTACAAAGAAGCTGTGAAGTCAAGTCTGTGTTTCTGATATAGCTGTCCAAAGGAACCAAAACAATTTCATACCAAAAAAAGAAAAGAAAAAGTCCCAAATTTCTTTCTAATGTAATTGATCCCTCAGAGCATTATGGATAAGATAAACCAGTGGAAGAGTGCAGTCTGACCGCTACTGCCTGTTGCCTTCTTTAACTTCCCTCTCTTGATGAGCATGTGCTCATTTATAGCTGAATGAGGGATGGCATTCAGTGTGGGTCCACAACACGATTCAGATATAAGCATCCATATGAAGATGTATCAACTATAATAGTTACTGGGCTGAACAGGAAACAAGAAGAGTTAAAAAAAGCAATTATAATCTGTTCAATCGTAGATAAGGGACATAACTGAAGATCTTTCACGACAAAAACAGAAGACAACTAGGCTGTGGAAGGTAAGTGAAGTTTCCTGTCTCTTGTGTCTGCAGTTTCACCGTCTTTTTCATTTGGACCTTGCACATCCTTCACAATTTCCATGCTGACAGTGTGTGGCCCAAATGTAATGCTGTTGAAAGCAGGCATGATTGTATTGGCTGCAGTGGACTGATTGCTCACATCACTGGTGAATTTAGATCCCTGCTGGGTGTTCATGGTAAATTTCTCTCCCTTCCTGGCTGGGGAAGTCATACTTGAAAAAACATGTCTCTTGTCCTGGGCTTTGGAACACTAACCCTCCTCAAACTGATATTGTACCTTTAATTCACATTTATCTGTATTTTGCATGCAATGGACTTATTGGGACAAGCTGTTCATTCCAGCATCTGGTAGTTTATTTATTATTGCGAGTGGATTACGTGCAGACACAAAAGGGAATGTGAAGTATGCAGTGGAGTGGGCAGGTTTAATCGTATCTCACAGTATCTGTTTCATTCAGAATTGTATTTTAATCTTACAGTACTGAGATAATATCAATTTTAAACATCTTAAACCTCTGTAATAATACATTTCATCAGATGTTTGCCAGTTTTTTCCTCTTGAAGAGCAGTGAACTCTTTGTGATTGCCAACACACAAGTTGTGTACATTTATTCAGTTGAACTTTTATTGTCTGTTGAAATCAAACTGGAGACCCGGTCACCAATTATTCATGCAAACCATCAGCTCAAAAGGGATCCGAAGGGCATGTGGGTTCTGTTAGCTGAGTTTTCCCTTTGTCTGTCAGGAAGATGGTTATTTTCCCTGTTCTGCTTCAAGGTTGACCCATAAAATAAGCAGTGTTCATATATTAGTATAGGGATGGGAGCAACATTTTGTTCTTCCCTTTATGCACATGCCCCAGAAACATGTTTTCCAAAAAGTTGCCTAAATCCTGGTCACAGGGGGCAGAACATGACTGGAGAATTGGAAGAGGGGTGAGATGATCCCACCTTACTGTCTAATCTGAGCTGACTTTATTTTAACCAAAGGACCTTTTGGACAGCCACCACTCACCCTTTTGCTAGGGTAGGCTCCTACCCCTGGCAGCCTCTGTGGCAGGACGTAAAGTATAACCCCTGTTCTTAAGAGAAGCTGCAGAAAGACCTTCAGGTTAGAGTCAGGTTAGATTTCCAGGGCTGTCTGCAAGAACTAAAAATGCCTTTGTCCTGTGCTGACCATTGAACAGCACTCCATCCCTTCAGGACTTCAAGAATTTTATACTGTTACAAGGCACTTATCATTCATCCATCTGATAACAAAAGTGGGTTGTTTGGCTTGCTTCTCAGTGACAACACAAGAACTGTTTGTTCAGGAAGGCAGGCCAGCCTGAACTTATTTCAAACAAACTGTCTCTGAATAAGCCATTTTTCTTTCTCCACCCTTTCCTGGCTGCCTACCACTCTGTGCTTTGCAGCATGTCTCGATGACTGTGAAATGTCTCTATGGCTTTAAATTTCCTTTTACTATTGGTGGCTTTATTCCACAGAGAGCAAACTCTCCAGCTTCTGTTGGTGATCATTGCAACACATTTCAAAGCTCATTTTGTTGGTGAGATCCCTGTCAGAAGCATTTTACAACTTTAAGCTATGTGGTTTTTCTGTGTCTTTTTCTTTGTTGTTTGTTTGCAGAAAACTCAAACTGTTCTCTAGAAAAGTAGCCTGTTGCCATAATCAATAACAATAGCTGTTTCCATACTTTATAGTATGTAGTCATATGGTCTAAATCATTGTCAGTCATTTCCTCTCCCATCACATCTTCCAAAAAATGCTGCCCAAACCAAACTGGAAAAAAAAAAAAAAAGAAGAAAGAAGGAAAGAAAGAAATGAAACCTTGCCACATTCTATTCCATCCATGCCATAAACTCATAAACTACTGAAAGCTAGGATCAGTGCAGATAAGAATCAGACAGTTTATGCTAACTATCGCCTTTGTTATTGCTTTCTGAAACAAAGTTTATTTGGTGCATTTATTTCTTCTTTTGACAGCATGCGAACAATAAGTGTGTTTCTTCATCTAGTGAAGTAATTGCTTTCCGCAAAGCACTGTTGAATCCAGTAACAGCCAATGAATTTCAACGTTTTGTGTCACTGCAAGGAGATCTACTGGCCAATGGATTGCTCTTTTGGCAAGAGGTCCAGAAGTATAAGGTACAGTGGCGAAATGGTGCAAGGGAGTATCACTCAATTTGTAAGCAAATGCATTCAATACTGCATATTAGGAGAATTTTAACAAAATATCTCTAGGTATTTTCTTGTTCATCGTAAAAACTCTTTCACTGTTTAAACCTTTTTTCTTCTATGAAAATTCTCACTTCTTAAAAGATATTTTAAATTACTTGAATGTATTATTCCTACATTTCTTTATGTTTTTCAAACTGTAATATTCTTCTAGGTCTCTAAAGGGACACTACTAACTAGCTAATGCCCAGATTTTGGTATACATCTGCTGAGCAGTACAAAATACGTGAGCATTAAAATGTTCATTCTGTCTTTCTAGTTGCATACTGTTAAATAATGGGATTATTGCTGAATCCGGCAATCACTCAAAAATCAGAGAAAACTAAACTTTTAAATTCAATCAAATGGACAGATACAAAGACAGTATCTCCATAAAAAGCTTATATGTACAATGCAGAACCCAGCTCCCTTGCATTTTGTAGTCACTTTTGACTGGAGCTGAAGACATGGCTGAGATGAAATGTGATGGGGAAGGTCAGCAGGGATTTCCACTCTCCCAAATACATCACCCTTTGTGAAATTGCTGCTCTGTGGGGTGAAACACAATGGGAAAACTCTGGAGTGAGCTTTAAATCACACTGCAGTCTCCTAGCATCACCCTGGACTGAGCACAGGGACACCACGTATCTTTCACATGTTCCTCATTCCTTTTGCTTCTGCAGTGTTGCTGATGCAAAGGTGCTACCACAGTGCAGAGCCTTTCCTGAGCTCCTAACCATAGGCTGTGTGCACATTGCATGCAGGAAGCATGAGGTTAGAATAGGCTCAGAAATTAGGAGGTAAACACAGCTGATGCTGCAGTAGCACATGCATCAGCATCAGCACTGGAGATCCTGCTGTAGGCATATGGGTGTAATTTCATTGTTTAATTTTACACATTTGAATTTGGGGTCTGCTTAAGAAGCTGAAGCTCCTTTGTTTCCAAGGCAATCTCCCCTCAGATCCCCAGGCAAGGAATCATTGGCTGAAATGCTCTCTGGGGGTGCTGCTGTATCTCATTTTTAGAGTGAATAGCTTAGACTAGAAGCTTGACATGAAGGCACCTGAAGTTCCAGGGCATAAACCCTTCTCAGATTTATGACTCTTCATTGCTACATTGTGGAGGACATGTGGAGTGTAGTTTAGACTTTTTTCTTTGTGGATCTACTCTCTGAAGAAAGGCTTCATTGTTTTTTGTCCCACTCCCTCTCCTTCATTTGTTAATTTTACTTGTCTTCTTATCAAGATAAAGTACAATCTGACCATATTTTCACATGCATGAGATTTGTCGTGGTTTGCAGTTGATGCTCTTTTATAGAAGCAAAGGGCTAGAGTATTAGGAGTGTTGTGGGTCAGGCTGAACTGGAGGCACATTGCCAAAGACGTGGGCAGCACTTTGCACAGTGCATGCTTGTATTGTCTGAGCTCTATCATGCCATCAGTTTAGACAGAACTCCCTCTAGGAGTCAATGACTGCATCGCTCCCTGTAACCCATCAGGCTGGCAGCACATCTTGGGACAATCCCCAAACATTTTTTATTTCTTAAACAAATACAAAAAAAGATAACTCTGTGGATCATTTCCATCTGCTCCTCTGTGCTCATGTCTCATCCCTCTTCATATCATATGGCCTGTTTGTCTTCTCACTACGGCTCTCTGCCTTTTCTTCTATGTTAGATGAACAAAGGAAGCCGTAATATGTTCTTAGGATATATTGAATATGTTTTTGTATTGCCTTACTTTGTTCATTGTAGCTGTTATCGTTCTTTTTTCCTTCACAAAACTATTCATAATAATAGAAGCCAGCTCTTTCGCATACCACATTTCTGGTTAAAAGCCCTGTTTTTAATTTCTTTGCAAAGTAAATATCCAGCCTCCTATACCAAAACTAAATGTGTATTCTTCATTTAGAGCTCTCTTCCTGAAAATTCTCTAGAGGGCTCATTGTGTCATTAGACAAGATGATCTCCTAATGTTACAGAAATTTCTTGGTGTTTATGGATAGATGGAAGGTTTGTGTTCCAAAGCATTTGAAGGATGTTCACTGAATTATTTTTCCTTCTTGTCAAAGTCCAATTGTAGCACTGTCAGAGTGTGAAGACACAGTAATAACAGGCTTTACAAGAACAACAATAGGATCACATTAAAAAAAGGTAGCAAACCTCCAGTGTTCCTTTGACATCTCACCCTTGTAAGTTCAGGTTTATTTTATTTTCTGTTCTGCCCAGAGTTTTTTCAAACACTGAGGTTTTGGGAAACTAGAAAATGAATGGTGAAACTAGTAGATTTCAACGAATGGAAGATCATACTGGTAGTTTAGGGCATGGCTTTGCCTTTTAGTTACCATGGGTATGCTAGTCATAGCAGGCTCATTGTGAGAATCAGTGCATTCCATGCTTGTAGGTGTGTTTCTCTTTTCAGAAATGCCTCCTATTTGACAGTAACAGACTGAATGCAGAATAAATACTATCATGTTTCATTAGAACGTGCAGGCAGAGATTATTACCTAAAAGCAAAGATTGCTATTATCTGCATTTGCAAACCAGAAGGCCTGCTCATGTCTTAACTATGTCTTTGACCATGCACATTTGCTAAAAGAATTTTGTCCTACATACTGAAAGGATCTACTGTGTAATTATTTTTGTATGACTATTACTCTTTGATCACTGGGCCCCTGGAAAGGGTCTTGCCTCTCTCTCTCTCTTTCTTGACTGAATATGCTATTTTTCATCTTTCAGGACTTGTGCCATTCTCACTGTGATGACACCACAATCCAGAAAAAGATCACCACTATTATTGACTGCTTTATTAATTCTGCCATACCTCCAGCTTTGCAGATTGACATCCCAATGGAACAAGCAAAGAAGATTTTGGAGCACAGGAGAGAGCTAGGACCTTACATTTTTAGAGAGGCACAGGTAAGAAGCTGGGAGAATCTTTATAATGGGTCTGGCTAGAGTCTGCATGTCTGATTTTAAGGAGAGTCTTTGTTGCTCATGTGACAATTTGGACTCCATACATAAACATGGGCATGAAGGAGAACAGTATAGTAATGCATTTCAATGAAGATTGTACAGTGGAGCTGACAGAAAGGCTTCAGATTTACTGCTCAATAAACCGGGCAATCTCTGACAGCTGGCAAGGCATTACCCAAGACTGTGTTAGGAATTCTGGCAGTAGAAATCACTTATGTCTATGTTTTTAATTGCTCGCTCTTTACCACTTGGTTAATGAAAGCAAAGTAATTTGTAGTTAGAAAGTTTGTAGTTTTTGTAGTTTGTGAAAAAAAAAGCAGATGTGAGTAAAGCACAAGACAGCTTCACTTAATATCTTTCCCTTTATTACAGAAAGCCTGTATTAAATGGCAGTAGACAATTTTCTCTCTGATCTTCGTACTAATCAGACTGAACAGGGATTTGTTAACTTTACTATAGACTTACTATTTTCTTATTCCTCAATACTGTCTTCTCTGTTCAATCTTCTAAACTTAAGAAAGCTAGTTCTTCTTGTTTTCCTTAAAAATCATTGCCAACACCTTTAAGCATCAACTGTGAGTTTATAAAGTGTTTGGACCACAAAAGACAAATGGTTTGTCAGAGAAAAGTGTACCTATAGGTCCTAAGAGAAATAGAAGTGTCATTTCAGCCTGTGTAAAACCCACTGAACTCCAGAAACATGGAACAAAACCAAGGGAAGAACTTGGCCAAAAAGCTGTGACAGGCACATGAGAGGGACTCGCATGTCACTTTCAAGTCCAGAAGCAGTGAGGTGCTGAGCATGTTTGGCTCCTTTGAAGCCTAGTTTCTCAATGAGAATTAAACATCTAAACAAATTGAAAAATGTGAGCCTTAGTACGTGCAGCAACAGAATTGACTGACCCCCTCTGTTTGCTTTTGTAAAATTGTTTTTCTTATTCTAGTTCAAAAAAGACCCTGTGAGAGATTATATCATTTAGAAATTATCCAAGATTTGCTCATAGATCTGTAATGTGGTTTAAGAGCCTTTCCAGAGGCAAAAAAGTATTTCCTTTCTCTTAAGGAGGGGAAAAAAGCCCTCCTCCTAATGAACTGAATATTTGAAATACTTGAGCAGAACAGTGGTGCAAAGGCAATTCTACTGGTGTATATGTTATCAAGAATACTTGTAAAAAATGATGGATGTTTTCATTAATGCAAACAATTGTTTAGGGAAATATATAAAAAAAGGAGGTGCCTTTTAGCTGTGTTTTAGGAAGATTTCTCACCAATAATAAACACACTGATGAAAAGCATGTGCTGAGCAAAGCTGGGCTGAAATGTCAGGACACAGTACGTGGGAGGAACAAGGCTGTATATTGAAAAAGAAATAGTTATTTCATTCTCATGGTAAACTACATTTTATTTTACAGTAAACTCTGTTTTCTTAATATAGTCAAGATTGACTTTTTTTTCTTCCTGCACAGATGAGTATTTTTGCTCTTCTGTTTAAATTTTGGCCAAAATTTTGTAAGCTTCAAAGCAATTTGGCTAGTGACAAAATTCTACTTGCCTTGGAGAGAAAAAAGGGAAAAAAGATGCAAAAGAAGGAAGATGGAACAGCAGAGGTAAGGTTCGCAAAGTTTCGGGTGACAGCTGACAACCACATAAAAACTCCTTCATGAGCAAACACACATGAATTGTAATATACCCTCAGCCTGATCCAAAGCTACCAACATCTTTTTGTTAGAATTCAAGCTTTACATGCAACCCAGTCCTAGGGCGATTAGTTCCCTATCCTGCCGATGCATATACATATGTTTAACTTGAAGCAGATGAGCCAGTGGAATACTCCTTTTGTTAAGCAGAGAGGAAAATGTATTTTAGTCATCTTTTGTGCCAAGAGAAGAGTGAAAAAGAGGGCTGAATTTAAAAAAATATAAATCTATGTATGGTCCATGTGTACAATGGACAGCATGCACTGTCGTATTTTAGAATATACAGTTCTGGGTCACTATTGAAAGCTAAACAAAACAAAACCAAACCAGATTTCATATCTGCTTTTCAGAGGAAGCATTTGAAAAGTCTGCACATTATTAAAAAAAGCCCAACAAAAGTGCTAATTGCTTTGTCTTTGTCTTTTCTTGAATATTTCTCAGCTTTGACAGTGAATTTGTTAGACTGTTCACAATGAGTTTCCAGACAGTTTCAGTGTATTAACAGAACTGTGACCTCTACAGAGGAATGCTTGCTTGTAAAATTGTTTTTCTTGGAATTTTGTTATAAAAATATAATGGATTTTTTTTCTATTGATTATAGGCTTTGCAAAAGTTTATTTTTTACAAAATGCAATTGTTTGGCCAGCTTTGAGGAAAGAACATTCATTTAAGGGCAGAGAAATTATTGGACTTGCAAACCATCATAAGTAGCATTAAAAGACCTTCACATATTTTAAATACCACGTACACATGTGTTGAGATGTTACTCATGATGAGAACCACATGAGTACCTGGACAGATAAAGACATATATGCCCATAAGAACATGTACACATTGTGATCCTCTTTCAGACACATGAAAACTGAGGACCAGTGAAGCATTACTCAAGGCCACACACCAGTGTCAAGTGAAGCCTAAAATCCAGGAACTCATGTTCCTTTCTCCAAAGCACGTTGCTCCATACAGATATATCTGGCAAGGCCATTGGCAATACTTACAATACAAGAATGCAATATTTCAAAGTAATGCACTTCTGCATTTTCACAGACTTATATTTTCCATCTGTTTGTTGCCTCTCTATAAGATTTCTGATTAAGATCAAGGAAGTAAAGAACAAATCTTGGCCAGGAGCACAAAAGCTCAGCTTTTATGGAGAACAAACGGGAAAGGTGAATTACCCTTCTAAGCTGGGAAATAGGATAAGAAATTTTAGAAAGTGACAGGCAGAGAATGCACTTTAGTAAATAGTCTGCAGACTACTCTCGCAAAAAAAAAAAAAGAAAAGAAAACCAATTACCTTGTAAAATTTCTTGAAAGAATAGGTGGAACAGGTAAGTTTTTAAAACCCTTTTCCCTTTCTTTTACTGTTTAAGGAATTTGCTATTTCCTGTTCTCTTGCCTAAGATTTCTGTCCTCTTGGTAACAAAACTATTCAACTGATTCAGTATCCCTGAAGAATACTGATAAGGTTCATCTAAAGTAAGTGATAGCAGGTTCACTTGGCATCTTGTAGAATGTGATGATTTCTTGGCATTTAAAATAATGTCTGTGCTCCCCAGTCTTGCCAGGCTCATGCTGAAGGACAGTAAAGCTCTGGCAAGGGTTAAAACCAATATCTTTTTATATATATCCCCCCCATCTCTGGCCCCACGAATCAGTTGCCATTTTGGGTTTATGTCAAACAGAAGAATCAGGATCCTGAAAGAGAAATACTACTTTCTCTTTCCTCACAAATATGTCCCTAGGGTGCCAAATCTACCTGGGCTCACCTCAATTTCTGAACTGACTGGGTAGGAGTTGGACTTTTATGTAGTACAACAGAAAAAATGGGCAGACAAGGAAGTTTTCACTGGACAACGATGCATGACTTAGTATGACTTAGTATCATTTGACAATAATTTTTGTGTGTGCCTAGTTGTTATTTATGGAGCAAATCGTATCAAAGGCTACCCGGCAATTGACTCAGGGCAAGGGAGGAGTGGCTGACAGCCACTCTCCCCACGGCGAGGGATGCCAACCAAGCACGGTACAACGCAAAGACCTCTTATCTGGAAAGCAGGAAGGGGTAGGTACAGGGTGAAGTAAGCTTGAATGTTCAATATAATGTGATTACTTCAGTACAGAGCTGAAATAGTTGTTTTGAAAGATACTGCCCTGGGAGAGTATGGTTTGCTTCTGTTTTCACATATTTGCCCTTAGTGTGACACAGCTATACGGACTCATCTTTGGTTCATCTGTGGATTTGTTCCTTTATTAACTGCTAGATCCACATGAAATATACTTAAAATACTTTTTACATATATCCCTCCCCCCATCCCTGGCTCCACAAATCAGTTGCCATTTTGAGTTTATGTCGAACAGAACAATCATGTTCGTGAGGGAGAAATACTACTTTCGCCTTCCTCACAAATTTGTCCCTAGGGTACCACATCTACCTGGGCTCACGTCACTTTCTGAACTGACGGGGTAGGAGCTGGACTTTCATGTAGTACAACAGAAAAAATGGGCAGACAAGGAAGTTTTCACTGGACAATGATGCATGACTTAGTATGACTTAGTATTATTTGACTATCTCAATAATTTTTGTGTCTGCCTATTTGTTATTTATGGAGCAAACCGTATCAAAGGCTACCCGGCAATTGACTCAGGGCAAGGGAGGAGTGGCTGACAGCCACTCTCCCCACGGCGAGGGACGCCAACCAAGCACGGTACAACGCAAAGACCTCTTATCTGGAAAGCAGGAAGGGGTAGGTACAGGGTGAAGTAAACTTGAACGTTCAATATAATGTGATTACTTCAGTATAGAGCTGAAATAGTTGTTTTGAAAGATACTGCCCTGGGAGAGTATGGTTGGTTTGCTTCTCCGTTTTCACATATTTGCCCTTAGTGTGACACAGCTATATGGACTCATATTTGGCTCATCTGTGGGTTTGTTCTTTTATTAACTGCTAGATCCACATGACACATACTTAAAAAAGTATCATTAGTCATTTTTTGCAGACTTCCTTGATGCCAGTATCTGTAATTTGTTGTATATACAACTGCATTTTACCTCCAAAGTAAATTTTGGAATTTTTACTTTCAAGTAATAGTTTCAACTTCCGCTGTAAATCTGTACTTACTCCTTCCATGCCCTTCGCAGAGAAAGGTAAAACCATAATCACTGATTTTCCTTTTCCATTATTTCCCTCACCTTTGTTTAATCTTCTTAGCAGTAAGTTTATTTGTTAGTAAGTTGTATGTCATGGGATAAGACACTGGTGCAATGTCATGGGATATGACATTGCCATAACATTGCCTAATTTATTATTCAAGACATTATTAAAGACCTCACTTAATTCACCATTCTCTAGCAAATATAAACTGCAATATATTAGTATACATGCTACTGCTATATTTGCTTTGGCATCCCCATTCAATTGAGTGGGCCACAAAAGTTAGTAAGCTGGCTTCTAGAGAGAAGAAAATTGCCTGGGTAGTTCTATACCCAAAAGTCATCCTTATAGATGATGGGCTCATAGGACAGTGGGTGTGATGAGGAAGGAAAGGCACCTTTTTATAATTTTGGTATCATTGGACAGAATTTACAAAGATACAGCCCCAGTAAAACACTAAACCAACATGAAAATGACAAATAGTTAGTCACCAGACCAGCTTACCAAGGGTTACAGTGCCTTGTCCTTCACTTTGAATGTTTTAAATCAGATTGCCTGTTTTCCTAACATGTATACTGTAGTTCATTCACAGATACTGGACCAAGCTGGAATTAATCATGACAAATCCAATGTTCTACATTTATACCTGAGGCCAAATTAGAGGATCACAATGGCCTCTCTGTCCTTAAAATGCATTCTGTTTCAGATCTGCCCTCTCACTTAGCTGTATTTTGGAGCAGGTATTGAATCTGAAAGGACGGTAGTCTGCAGGAGTGAAGAGGTCAGGAAACTTTGCTTAGGACAAACAAATGCTTTTTAATCTTCTGCTACTTTTCATTATGCCAATGTGAGGAATTATGAAACTGGGCATTACAAAACGTTACTGCATATGACACTATCTTGTTCCCAACGTTAATTTTTCCTTCCCCAGATTTAGCTTTTTACTTTAGCTCAGTAACTATAATTTCCACCTAATTATGAGTACTTATTATTAGCAGGGTAAAGAAGGGGGGACAAAACCTGGGACAAAACCCATCAGTTTGCTAAGCAGTGCTTTCACAGATGAGACTGGTGTGGAGACAGGACAAGCACCATTTTCAGTTGGACATGAGTCACAGGTGAATAATAAACATGTTGCTATAGATGTCATCATTCAAGAGAGGGGAAATGTCTTGGAAGAATGGGAGGGTGGAGTTTGTTTTTGAATGCTACTGTCACATGGTTCTTCAATAATTATTCATTCTTTTACAACTAACTTCATTGTTATAAGTTTACCTACCTTATAGGTGATTTTTTTTTTAAGATTTAGGTTCTGAGGAGTATTACTATCCAGCAACATATTAAACTCTTTATGTGTGCAGATTTAAAGATCATTTTAATTTAAAGATAAATTGAAGACAATTAAGTTCAATTCTGGAATAAGAAGCTTTAAAATACTTGTGAATTTCATGTCCTGAAAGAATTTGGTTTAGGCTTGAGTCCTGTTCTGCTCAAATGTCAAAAACGGAAGCTGAACTCATTTAGGAAATCCAGGTACTTGAATAGAAAACCTGTCAGAAAACAGGTTTTTAGTATTCCAGAACAACTCTCATGATGTATCAAATCTGTAATGAAAAGATAACAGTCACTTTATTGGAGAAACAGGAAGAACAGACATGCCACCTTGGGCAGATCAAGGGATCATTTATAGCTGAGTTGATACTGCCATAATGGGGAATCTGTGCAACCACATAATCACAGCTATGATGTGATGCAGGAGTAAACTGCACTTTGGTCACTCCTTGTATTCCACTGAGCTCTGCCCATGGCATTATGTTAGCGAGGCGCAGAACATAGAAATAGGCAGCCTGAAATACCCCCAAAATCTGAAACCACCTTCCAAACCTCATAGTTAAGCTCACACTGTTATCCCTTAAACAAACCTTTTTACCTTTGCTCATACTTATTTTTAAAAAAAAAACACAAACTTGAGTTGAGTGAGCCAGTATATCAATATCATATGTCTAAGCCCTCAAGAAGAGGCCAAAGTACAGTTCTCATACTGATTTGAGAGAGTGACCTTAAATTTACATGGAACCTGAACTGTGGTTGTTGCCATGTAAAGAGCAATTGTTCCTTAGAAAAGGGAAGGATGAGATCTCCAGTTGATCTGCCTGTAGCAGTAGCAGCATTCTGCTGGAGAGGGCAGGGAGAAATAACTGTGAGATTAATGAGAACTTTGATGATTTGAGGAAGGGCACACAGGAAGGATGTGGCAGGGAGATTAAATTAAGTCCTCAATAGCACAAAAGACTGATATTTTGGGAGGGAAAAGGTCTGCTGTATTAAGGTTTTGAAGAAAAAAGGAGAGAGAATAGCACTCAGATCAGGGATGGAGAATAAATGAATATAAACATCGTATCGATCAAACTTGCTTCAATTGCCTTTCATGGTGTTTCAAGATTCACTTATTTGCAGCAACATATTTTTCTTTTTTTTTCCCAGGATTCCAGTATTGTCATGACAAAATTTCTCTTCTTAATAATTGTAATTATTCAATATCAGGGATATAACATAAACAAGATTTTTGTCTTACTGTTGAAATTGACCAGGAACTGCAAGTGATATGATCTGGAGGCTGATCATTTTTCATGGTTCTTTCAGGCTTCCTGGTCCTATTCCAAGTACATAGAAGCCTTGGAGCAGGAGAGAGTACTTCTTAAAATGCAAGAAGATCTGGAGAAAGCTTCATCATCTGTCCTTACAGGTTGTTAACCAAGCTCTGCGGTTTAGGAAAACAAGCTTGTAGCTTAGGTGAAATTCTCACAGTGTAAGGATTTTGTTCTCCTTTGGAATTGTGGATATAAATCTCTGCCTCTCTTACACTGTCTGCAGGGGAGTTGCTCTCTGCACTGTACTTGTGAGTGACAGTAGGTTTCCTAAGAAAGGGAAAGTGAAAGTTGTAGGGTATCAGCATTGCCTTTACTGCAGAGAGGAATATGGACATTTCTTCATTCTGCAGAGTGACATGGCAATCCTATTTGGTTCACATACGCATTTCACCTCCCTGGCTTCTCATGCTTCATCAACTTACATACAACCAGAGAGATGCAACTTTTTTCTCACCAGTTTGTCAGTGTGCTTTTGGGGGATGTAAGAGGCATTGCTTCATCCTTGTTTCAGCTGTGAATATCTTCTTAGGTCTTCCCAAAGGATTTGATGACCTGTTTGTTCATTAAATAGCCCAATTTAGCAGTAGGGCTAACAATAGCACTATGTAATATTAAACCCCTTCAGTTTCCCATTATTTTAATTTTCTTTTCATATGCAAATACCTCATCTATGTCCTTCCCCAAGCCTTGAAACTCTGAAAAATCCACAATTTCTCCAAAGATTAGTGTGATGTTGGAGAAACACTCAAATCTTCCCAAGAAGCAGAAAGTGAATACCAGATGCCAACAAGTGAGCTTTGAAAACTGGGTTCTTAAAAGCTAGTTTTCCTGCTGTCAGTGCTGATGCTTATTAGTAGCGAGTTATCCCACTCCAAATCACGTTTAACTGAAGCTGTACAGCCTCAACATGAAGGCAAGATTATTCTTCACTCCAGTCATGGTAAGCGGACTTAATGCTGACCAGATTGACTTTGTTGCAAAATGGTACTCTCTGAAATGCTGGTAAGTAAGCTTTCCAGTTAAAGTACTTTAAATAGGAGTGTGAGATAACTGGAGGAAGCTCAGACCCCATGGAGTTACTGGCAAAGGCTTGACACAGAACTAGTAATAGATCATCTCTGCCAAAGCCAATTAAATATTAGAATGGGAGAAAGAAGTGGGACAGCAAAGAGGTCTGATAAAGACAGAAAACGAGATTCTGCTTGAAAGCTTGAATTCCTAGATGGAAATATCCCCTGGAGGTTTTGGTTTGGTTTGGTTTTTCTTA